CTATGTTTGGGAAGCAACAGCTGCTTTTTTTACACCTTTTCCTCTCTATGTTTGTTAAGCAGTTGTTGCTTTTTTTGTCAAATCTCCCCTCTCCTCTCCTCTCCTTTGTTTTGCCGATGATGAAATTGTCCAAGTCCATACATTATATGGAATATGAGCTGATGATCAAGAACTTGTGAGGAACTTAGCATCATTAGCAGCCGCCCCTACATTACCTTCTCCTCTCTTCTCTGTTATGATACCTTGATGCTCCAAGTTCAAGATCAGATGATGATTGACATGTTTCTGAGGCCTCTACCACTGCTACTTCTCGTTTTTTTATATTGTTGTTTTATAGGACTACTTTGGTTTATAGACCTTTTTGATTTCTTATACCTTCTCGCGAACCTAAAGCACACTTTCTTGCATCTTTTAGAACAAAACACGAAATAATGTCGCGGACAACAGACCGTGCAGCTCGATGCCCTAAGCATGATAAGCAGCCAACCCTTGAGGAGCAAGCACTAGAGGACCAGCTTACTCAGGAACAGTTCGATAACGAGGTAGAAAAAGATCTAGAAGTGATGCTTACTCAGGAGGAGTGTGACGAGGAGGAAGGCCCTGAAGGAGAGGCTGCTGAAGGCGAAGAAGAAGAGGATGATGAGTCAGAAGAGGGATATGAAAGTCCCGAGGATCCTTTCCCACCTGAAGCAAGAAGGAGGCCAACGGAGGAAGATTTGGACAAGGATTTTGACCCGAACGAGGAGGTAGGGAAGAAGCCTTAGCTTGTAAATTTTGCTAAAGCTTTGGCTGTGTTACCTCTGCTAACACTTTGACCTATCCTATATACAGGTCCCTCCTGAAACTCAGAAAAGACGACATCGACGTCCGCGACATCTCGCTGGACAAGACGGAGTAGAGGAAAGGAGAGCAGAGGCAATAACCACAGAGATGGATCACGATGCCTCTGCTCCACAAACTCAAGACACAACCACGACTACCAAGCCTAAGAGGAAACGAGGGGATAGAAAAGGAAATCTATACCCAGATAAGGCTTGCTATGTGATAACGGAGGTTGGGCAATAGGGAGATCCTTGAGCGAAGGAATTAAGAGGACGATTCAGTAATGCGATCAAGGCCCTAGTAAGAGATAAATTGAACCCAACAATCCCTAATCGGAAAGAGGTACCAGAGAACATAAAGAATGCACTATGGGATAGGCAAATTTGAAGGTCAATTTTAGATTTTGAGGGTAAGCACGAATTGGTAAAAAAATGCTATCGAGGATGATGGGAGAGTCATTGCGACGTTGGAGGTCGGAGCTTAACACGAAGTATATCCAAAGGGTTAACTCCCTTCAACGAGTTGGCAAAATAACTCCTAGTCAATGGGAGGAGCTCGTGGCTCGAGAAGACTTCAGCGGAGGCATTGAGCTCGATTGCTCGTAATAACCGAAGCTAGCGAAGAGGAACAAACACCACCATCATCTAGGCCCGGTGGCTACTATGCCAAGGAAGAAGCGGTTTAGAAAGATGGATGAAGAGGGCGCATTCTTTGGGAATATCGATGTGACGAAGTTGAAGGTACGCTCAAGGAACCGGATATATGCGAGAAAGCTGAGAACCATCCGCAGTAATCTTAAGTTTGATAAGTCGAAGACCCAAGAGGCGGTATCAAGGATCTTGAAATATCTTTGAAGACAAAGAGAAGGGCTCATTCAATCCTTCCAAAGAGAGGGACGAGCTTAGCCTTGGCTTGGGAAACAAGGAGCACACAGGCCGCACTGTGGGGCTAGGGAAAAGGATGACTTGGAAGCAAGAAAAAGAGGACAGGCACATGTACAAGAAACATGGCCGAGACCGGGAGACTAGTCTTGAGCTCCAAGTGAAGGCTTTAATGCTTGATGGTACTGGAGGAGCAAGGAATGTCTATGGAGCCACGTATATTAGTGATGCCACCGGGAGGCGGCATTAATTGGCAGCCCTCGAAAGTTCCTAGCAGCCAAGGTTCCACTGCAGCCACAACCTCGGTCGATCTCATCACGGGAACCTACTAGTTGCACCTTGGTGTTTCTCGGTGACGTGAGAACACTGTGATGGAGGTGGCAACGGGTGTTGCACATCCTCCCGGTGGCTTACACCACAATAATAACATACCGCCGGACTACACTAGGGTCGAGGTGCATACAGTGAAGCCCGAGTTCATGCAGTGGAGGATAGACTACGCAACTCCCGAGGGGCTGGTGTTACTCGGAGACGTTATGGGGCAGTTCATCCTCGCACAAACAGGACATTATATTGGATCGCTTCTTCGCCGCCCCCTCTCCCAAATTTGGAGCGAGTTGTTGAGGCGGGAGATATTTTCACCATCTTGTGACCCCCACATTCTCGAGATGCCACATTCTTCCCCGCCTCCTATCGAGCATGTGCACGATGAGATGCCACAACCTTCTCCCGGCTTCGTCAGACGGGCAAGTGCATCATGAGATGCCATAGTCTTCTCAACAAGCACAACCGATACATGAACAACGAGTGCCTCCTCAAGAAGGTGATGCACAAGAAGATGAGGGCGTGCACGAATGGGAACTCCGAAGAAGATTCCAATCCACATAAGGCCGGTTTATGTTCCGATCAAAGAGCGTCTCGTCGGTGTCCAAGTGGTATTCCCATGATCGGTTCAAGCTCGAAAACCAAGTTAAAAAGTCCCATCACGGGGTTACGAGGAGGCCGTCAAGAGTAAACTTCACCAAATTGCAAAGCGGTATCCAAATGTTGATGCCATCGAATGGTCAAAGGAGTGCCGAAAAAAATATGAAAGAGGCAAGCCCTTCCTACCAAACCGGGACATCCAGCGCCTACCACTTGGAATGAGAAGGTTCCATGATTGTTACTTGCGTGTTCTCCCAACGAGCATAGATATCATACAAGCATGCTTTCCCACCCAAGCACATTTGGAAGCCAGTAGGAAAATTGTCTTTGACTTCAATGACATGCACACATGCTTTCACCGGGAGAAATGGAGATGAATCTAATTGCATGCGTGGTGCTGTAAGTCCTTGTCCTCCCGATATGATATGAATGTAATCTTTGAATTTTGTTGTAACTAACCCACGCCGTGATTTGTAGAATGCAAGTGCACATTGTCAAACAAATGCCAAGTGTGAAAGCCGGGTATGTAGACCCTCAAGCTATAGCCCAAACAAATTTTAATTACCCTAAGCGGTGGACCTTTGGATGCCAAAGAGCTAGCAGTGCAAAGACTCTTCGGGAGAAAGAGCGCATTCATAGTGCGAAGCTAAGGAAGAGTCCCTTAAGGTTGCGGCATACATTGCTCGGCTTTCAAAATCTCCAACAACACTCTACTATATGGCTACCATACAACTTCGATTAAGTTCAACTATAACTTAAAGCTATGTTCGATATATTTTATTCGATGTAAAAGAGCTTATCTAGTTCTATGATTAAATCCATGCGACAACCTTTCGGATTTGTATAGCCGTCGATGTCGGGAAGAGCATGGCATGGGTCTTTGATTCAATAGATAAGGACCGGCGACATACAAAGACTTCATGTCGATTCTCAAGACGTATACATATCGACAATCCTCATTAGCTTATATGTGCGTATACATACTTGTAACGTTCACTTATGCATACTAACAAGTTGTATTTGCTAAAATAATTCGAGCAGGCATTTAGGTTCTATGTCTCTCATCATCACGGAAGGCATGATCCAATGAGGAAGGAAAAAGTGGCTATAAAAACACTATGTGCGGTAAGTGTAACTTACTTCTTCAGTACTCCGTTACATGGCTGTCAAAAGCATTACCTAATATTTTCATATGCAAAACACACAGTGCCCCAAGCAGAGGCCTGGGAGTGTACATTGTGGATACTATATATGTTCTATGATGAGTAACACCGGTGCCTACAGGAGACACCCCTTAAGGGTAAGTTTGAACCTCTTCACCCGTAGTATAAAAACTTCATAAATGGTATGAAATACTAAACTGAAACTTGTTTTCTTGTAGTGGAGAGAAGAGAAAGGAATGAAAAGAGACCCATACAAGGATGACCAACTCTTAGAGCTTATCGGCGACCTTTGCAACTTCATATTGGACCAGATTGTACACGTCAGAGGCGCCTACCATGATCGAGAGTCTGACTTAGGTACAAATCCTCAGTACCAACACCTTCGTGAGACTGAAAGGCTAGCTCTAGGACATTGATAACAATGTGTATGAAATTTGTATATTTAATGATGGATTGTATATATATATCATTACGAATTGGACTTGTAATTGTACTTTATATAATACTATTGTGCTTGTAGTCGCGTTCGGAACGTTGGTCGCGTGGCGTTCGGCAACGCGACTGTGGCTCGGAACGTTGGTCGCGGGGCGTTCGGCAACGCGGATGCTAGATGGAATACGCAGAAACAAACAGTTCTGGTCGAATTTGAATTGTAAATTTGAATTTTTTTTTGCGGGAAAACGTACTGTAGGGGCGGTTCTAGATTGAATCGCCCCTACAAATAGGTATTATAAGCGGTTTGGCATGACTGGCCGCCCTACAAATAGATTTGTAGGGGCGGTTGGTTCTTGAGCCGCCCCTACAAATAGATTTGTAAGGCGGTTCAGATACCACCGCCCCTACAAATCTATTTATAGGGGCGGCTCAATCACCAACCGCCCCTATAAATCGATTTGTAGGGGCGGCCTGGGAACCGCCCCTACAAATGCATGATTTGTAGAGACGGTTCGGTAGGGGCGGCTGGCCAAACCGCCCCTACAAAGGGTTACCAGCCGCCCCTAAAAATGCTTTTTGTAGTAGTGGGATGGTCGGATTTGCAAGGAGACCAAGCACACGTTCCATTACTAAAAAAGCTGTCAGCAAGTCCGCCTCCAACAAGATCACCATACGAAAGCCAACGAGAGAGGATTACGATAATATCCCCACCGATAAATATGTGCCAGGCAGGCCTCTACTCCACTGGTGCGAACTCCGTTGTGTTTCACGTGCGATGAAGACGTTGCATGACTGGTATATGAGAGCATCTTTGGTTGGGATCAATGCCTTCTACGCGGTTGTACCACCACTAACTTTTATGGGTGGCCCTAGCAAGGTTATGGTTGACTTCGAGGACATTTGGTTGATGTTTCGCCTTGGCAAACTCGACGTCCAGCTTGTGAGCGTGTGGTGCCTGTAAGTGTTGCTCGTACATAATTATGTTTTATTACTGATATAATGTTAGGGCATATGAAGTATCATCTGACAAAGTCACACGCTTTACAGAATGCAACAAGCCAACCAGGACATGCGGTTTACTGAGGATCCGTTTGTTCACCAGGGGAAAAAAAGGTTGGGTGTCTCAACCCGGCCAGAATAACCGAGAACGAGCACACAGTGGTTATGGGTCCTGATCACGGCTTGTTTGTGGGCAAGACCGAGGCTGAAATAGCAAAAATTAGAGTGCGGGAGCAAGACAGGCAGGAAGTTGCAGTGGCCACCTACATAGGAAACGCGTTTCTTCAATACCAAGATAGGAGAATTATATGTGCACCATACATGTTCAAGTATGTTTTGGTTGTAAACTCCCTTAATAATTTTTATTTATAAAGTTCTTACTGTCTTAACACATGGCTTCATTGAATCCGTGCAGTCTGTATGTAAATTTGGCTCTACGATACACGGATTTTGGTCCTTGACTCCGCAGATTTCCCACAGAGCAGTTATCAAAAATTCATCGATATTTTACAACAGTAAGTCGAGATTTGCATGCGTGCTTTTCCACATGTCTATACTATCTACGAGAGTTTAGATATGACTTGTTGAATTCATTCGAGCTCTACAGGGCATACAAGTTCTATAAGTTCAAGGGTGGATGGTACGATTTAAAAAAAGACAGAAAACCGCTACATGTGCCGACTAACTTTAAGGTAAATTTTAAATAAACATACATATTTGTCTTGTATATATGTATACATAGCATCTATGTAACCACTTGCCAATTCTTATATAGTGCCATAAGCAACTACTAGGATCGATGCACAGTGGGTACTATGTGTGCGAGTTTCTCAAAGAAAACGGGAGATACACCAACAACCCTAGCAAAGTAAGTAATAGTCATATGTCAAGTTTTGTCATTACTGATGCCTTCTCCGTATTGGTTAGTTGTAAATGTATCATGACATTATATTTTGCAGGTATACAAGTGTGATCCCACGAGTAGGCGCCTCCAGAATAAAGAGCTCATGAACATTTGCGAGGACTTTAGCCGATTCATCATGGAAGAAATAATTCACTTCGATGGGAAGTATTTTGATCCGGAGTCAGAATTAGCTCGACCACAGTACCGAGATCTCGTAGATATAGCCAGGCTAGAGCTAAACCACGAGGATTATTAGAGGAGTATGTCATGGGACCGAGCTAGCTATGAGTGGAAGAAACTTTGTTTTATGTATACATTATTAGCGTGTGATGACTTTGGTAGACTGCAACAAATATTGCTTTTTTCATGCATGCAAATATATTTTTTGTGATTTCTATTTGGATTCGTTTCAATTTGTATACAATAATTGACTGGCGGGAAATATAAACAATTCACGGGTAATATATGCCGCCAAATTTTGAATTTTTAAAAACAATTCACCGGCGGTTTTGCTAATAAACCGCCTCCGGAAAAATTATTCCAAAGACGGCAGATTTAAGTCCACCGCCTATGCTAAAACAGTTACACCGTCGACTGACTTAAACGAACTGCCAGTGCAAATACTTTAACACTGGCAGGCTGTTTACGTCAACCGCCTGTGTCAATATTATTATCACTGGCGGTTGCCTTAGAGGAACCGCCAATACAAATGTGTTAATACTGGTGGATCTTAACTAATCGCTCGTAGTATTTTAGTTTTTCACTGGCCTTTTACACTGGCGGTGGGTTCAGACGTCAGTAGAAATGCCTGTGAAACCGTCATTGCTGAGTTCCAGTGTACTTGCGGTAATAGCATGCAACCTAATTCCGTTGTCAATGCATACAAGACTTTTATTACCTCTCCCACCTTATCACCTCCTGAACGCGCACAAGTGAAGTGACTAGTGGGTATATATAGTAGCATGCATGGCCATTTTCTCCACTCAAGTTAAAAAACTCGATCGGGGGTTAAGACTGTCCCGCAGCATTACAAATAAAAAGAAGGATCTTCTCACCCGGCCGAGAAAACCTCCGACCCCCGCCCCCACCCTTACACGGTGGCTTTCCGTCGTCCAAGTGAGAATTGGGTCGGTGCCTCCAGTGCTTTGGTTATGAGGGACAGACGAGTAGATTTTTTTAACCTCAACCTGAAATTCGCTCCAACGGAGAGTCAAACCCAAGACCTGAGGAGTACCGCTGGATCACCTAACCGTTTGAGCTAGACGTCCTTTGGCTCTCCACTCAAGTATGGCATGCGTGCATGATTGCATTAATTGTTTTCAGTCATAACCATAACACTCCAATTTTTGTATATATTGTACATATAGTATTTTTTGTTTCACTCTTTTGTTCGTGGCATGGAGGTTTTTATATCAACTGCACCTTTTTTTTATCACAGTCCATTTTTGTTGTAACCTGTGCCGAGCATTTAAAATTACGCAACTATTCATCCATGCATTTTGGTATATCTTTTGTGGAAATTCCATTCTCTACTCACTCTCCACCCAAGCCTATACCTACCTTGAAATTATATGATCAATTTCACCAATTATCCTAATATATACAACTATGTATTTTTTATAATATATATATATATGCTTCTTAAAAGCTATGTCCAAAATAATATATATATATATATGTGCGCGCGCGCTCTTCTTAAAAGCTATGTCCAAAATAATATCCAATTTCAGGTGTATCCTTGTCTTTTCCTTTTTAAAAAAAAAAATTGCGCGTTATTTTGCCTTCTCAGACGTATGCATTCCGATTTTTCATTTGCTGCTTCACATCACATCACGACCAGTCATTAGTGCATACAGATGGGTAGTAGGTGTCGTTGTTTTGACAAAAACTTTGCATTGAATGTCGACGGAGTGTTATCCCAATGCCGCGTCATGCAACTGTTTCCTGCTACCTTCGCCCTTAAGCAACAGAAATCCTTTATAATACCTTCCTCATCCACAACTCGTCATCACAGATAATAATTTTGTTTTCCTTTTTCCATTTCGCGTCGCGAAAAAATGGTGATCGTTGATCCGAAAGCCCTGGCCTCGGCCCACCAGTTCACCGTCGTCATCGACGGCGTCGAGACGAGCGTCCACGAGGGCGTGCTCCGGCGCAACGGCGGCACGGTGGCCGTGGTCGGCCCGGGCGTCCTGGAGGTGAGCCGTCTCCAGCACGTGGTGGTGCGCGGCGGCGGCGGCGGCGACGTCCGCTTCTCCCGGTGCGGGTACGCGGCCGCCGAGGACTGCGGCGCGGCATCGTTCCACCGGTGCGACGCGGTGCGCGTGGGCGGCGCCCGCGACGTGGCCGTGCGCCGGTGCCGCTCCGCCGACGTGGAGCGCGTGGCGGGCGCCGTGGCCATCCGCCGCTGTAAGGGCGCCGTGCGCGTCCGTGGCGCCGGGGGGGAGCTCCGCGTGGGCCGGTGCCGGGAGGCGGACGTCGGCGGGTGCGCCGACGTCGCCGTGGCGCGGTGCCGCGCCGCGCGCGCCGACTGGTGCGGCGCGCTCGCGCTGGGGAGGTGCGGCTCCGCCGACATCACCCGCTGTGGCGCCGTGCGCGTCGACCGCTGCCGCGACGCCACCGTGTCCGGGTGCGGCACCGTGGCGGTGCGCCGGGGAAAGGTGAGCATGGTGGAGATGGGCCAGCAGGTGCCGCCGGATTTTCACGAGCAGACGATGATGTATCAGCAGGGTGAACCTGTCCTCGCTACGCCGGTGGCAGTCGTGGCCAAGTGAAAGGAGATGCGTGCTACTGCCTGCGTCGCCCCGTCGTACGGCCGATCATCGCGTTCGTATCTACGCTGAAAGTATGTAATACTATTATATCGTGTATATATTGTGAAGACGAATTCTGGTTCGATTAGTCTCGGTATTGTTTCTAGTAGATGCTATTATTGTACCAGTAATTGCTGTAATATTCTGCAAACTTTCCTACCTATAAAGCATATATGGTGTGTTTCATGTTAAAACATTGTTCATATGCATGTAAAAGTATATAAAGATATAAACAATGGAGTATTTTTGTGGATTAGTTATTTTCTGTGGTTGATACTCAACCCATCTGATCATGTTTTTATAGTGTTGGCTCTTTGTGGATTAGTTATTTTCTGCGGTTGATACTCAACCCATCTGATCATGTTTTCTAGTGTTGGCTCTTTCAAGAGAAAAGGTGGGTGCGGAGGGTCCTCACATGGCCCAAATCGCGTGCGCTCATAAGATTAACGGCGCACACATCACCGATGGTGGGGAAGAAGGGGGCGGGGGTGGGGGCAGCGGACGGGCGGTGAGCGGGACGACCAGCGGCGAGGTTGCCGCAGCGAGGGGCGGCAGTGGCGGTTAGGGTTTCACTTCTGCTACCATATATGGCTGCGCGGCCTTAGAAGAAGGGGCCTGAGGGCGGCGGGCGACTCAGCGGTGATGGCGGGTTGAGGGCAGTGAGCAAGGCAGCGGCGGCGCCGAGCAGGCGGTGTAGGACATCCAGATGGGCGGTGCCGGCGGCGGGGCGAGGTGTCGCCGACGAGCTACTGGATTGAGATTAGGGAAGAGCGGGTTCGTCCGGCAAGGAGGTCGCTAGTGGCCTGGTTGAGGTGGGCGGGGGCATGGACGAGGCAGGCCGTGTGCACCAGTAACCTTAGCGGCTCGCTCGTGTCACCTAAGGGAGTCAGTGAACTGAAGCTCATAATAATTCTTCGGACTACCTTTGACTTTTTGAGATAGAAGAAAGTCTACCAGGTGAATTGAAGCTCATAATAATTCAGCATGTTCACTTGCTCGTATACAATCGTGGATTATGAGTTGGAATAGTATTTTTTTCTCGCACCAAATCAGCCAGCAGTAAATAATTCATGATCGTTTACGGTCTGTCGAACAGGCTGTTCGTGCGTGTTTAGTTCAATGCTTCAATCTGGCTTGTCCTATCAATGTCTCAGTTTAATTTTCTTCATCCGCGCGGTAAGTCCAGACATTTATTCTACATGCTAAAATTTGCCCGATCGTGGGCGCATTCCAAACTCACCCTTGACAGCAACTCAACAGCTTGGCTAAAATTAGTAGCCAAATTTTATTATTTAGCTATTCTATGAAATAGAAAACTTTAAAAAAAAAAGAGATCCACAACAGCCTTGCTATTTTATAAAATTATATAGCAAACGTCCATGGTTGACTATATATAGCCACCAAAAATCAAGAAATAGCTAACTTCCTATTTATAAAGTCAAATAACATATTTGTTGGAGCTTACTTTTTGCTATATAAATTCTAAAATACCCACGAGTCGGCATGAGTGTGACGTGTGTGGCGAACCATACATCTCGGTTATATGCGTGGAGTTGCCTTTTTAGATAAGAATCATTGGAATGAATGACGAAGCTGAGCAACGCTAGCTGGAGGGGACAAGAACAAAACACATGTTATGAAAGGGCATATTGCATCATTGTCCATTAGGCTTCAAAGACAATCTAAGCTTAAAGCAATCTGAATAAGGTGGACACAAAGGCTATTGCGGTGGCCCCGTATCCTTTTTCTAAAATCTGGCCCATTTGCTAAAACCTGCCCCACAACAATCTTAACGTAGTAACATCGAGGGTCCAGTAAAAGAAACATAGTTACATCCAGGGACACATCCATCTTTGTATGGTTTAACATATCGATAATGCTGGAAGCAGCGTCCGGACGCTTCGTCGGTGGACCGCTATGCCAGCCCAACGACACCCCCCTCCTCCGCCTCCCGCTCCTCTATTTCTAAAAAAAAATTACTCGTCCACTAATTCCTATCCACTCGTTTCTATCGCTTTTATCTGCTCGCATGTTGCGCAGCACTCGGTTGTTGCCCTGCCAGGCGCCGCACGCGGCCGCCTCCGAGGCGCAACGCTCGGCCCCTGGCCCTGCCAAGCACGACGTGCGGCCATCTCCGAGTCTGGCTGCTGGCCCTGCTAGGCGCGGCGCGCGACTGCTCTCTCCTAGTTGTGTGGCTACTGCCTCCCAGTCGCGTCGCGCGGCCGATGCCACCCTTCCACGTCGTGTGGTCCATACCTCCCTTCCGCATCGTGCAGCCGCTGTTGCTGGGTCGCTGCCTCTGGTGTCCACACGCCGACGAGCCTTCGTTCTCCTGAACAGCAAGGAGATGTTGCGCTAAAAGCGTATGTTGCAAGCATATGTTTCAATTGTTTCAGAAGTAGGTTGAGTGTTTCATATGGATGTTACAAAAGTAGATCGGTATGTTGCACATGTTGCAATGGTTGTACATGTATGTTGCAAGCGTCTGTTCCAAATGTTTCATCTGTTTTTTCAGACGTATATTGTAAGTGTGCTTATTTGGATGTTGCATATGTTTCACTGCAAATGTTTTATCTGGATATTTCATATGTTTTGCAATTGCTTTTTCAAGTGTTTTCATGTGTTTTTTGCAAGTGTTTCAAGCGTATGTTTCAAGTGTTTCATTTGTCTTCAGAAACATGTTGCAAATATTTTATCTGGATGTTTCTGAAGTAGATCGGGTGTTGGTGCTAGTGACCCACCCGCTGCAGTTGCCTGTTGCAGCTGCTAGGGCGCTACCAAGCGGGCGCAGACATCCAGGCGAGGGAAACGGAGGGGGCGCGAGCAGTCCCCGCTTAGGGTCAGGTGGTGCGGGTTACGTTCGGACGGCACGGACCCCACACAGCGGGGGGCCGCGAAAGATCTGTCCAGCGACGTCCGGCGCCTAAGTGCCGCTAACAAATCGTCGTGCTTCATCTCCATGTGATACAAAACGTCCGAGCGTTATTATTATATTTTTGAACCGCATTTTAACAAATCAAAGTCAATGTGCTTCATCTCCATGTGATACAAAAATGTAAGACAACTTTTTTTTGAAACAATTATTATATTTTTGAACAATAATGTAAGCCATTTTAAACATTAGAAGAAGTGTGGATGCGCCTAAAGACAACTTTGCCCATATGTTTTTACCCCTGTTTTATTATGATATTTGTGTTTTTACCCCTATTTCCAGATAGCAAGTTTACCATTTTTATATAGAATTTTTAGAAAATTTTGACAACATTTCAGCTGACAATCCACGTAAACAAAATTTAATATCACTCAACCGATCCATATAAACAGATCCATGTGACATGCCATAATAGTACCATATTAGATGCCAACGTAGAGATCCAAATAACACGTCAAACACCAACATATAGGTCTCTAAATGACATGCCAAACAAAAGTAGGAACTAGTAGTGAGTTCTCTAGGCAACTAGTAGTGAGCTACATATCCACTAATGAAGGAGCATGAACCAGGATTCTTATTCAATGTCCTCCTGACAAGGGATACCCACTTCAGTGCCAAGAACATTTTCAGCATTCAAAGGAACAATTTCTTGAAAACTGACAACAAGAAAAAGAAGTGAAACAATTTCCAGCAGTCAAGAGCATATCGTGAAGTTAAATTTTGTTTAAAATTTAGGAAGCCTTTTGCGATACACACCCTAACTAACACATAGGTATCAGCTGGAGGCGAAGAATGGAGCCAGTCATCAAGATTCAATCCCCTTGGTGGGGATTTACCGCCGACATTCCATGTGGAGGCAAAGATTCTACAAAAGTAGGGAAACAAAAGAGATCTGCGTCAGATTATTGCAGTAAAGTCAAACTGCAAGAACTACCTACAAGCACAAACAGGCAACTGACTGATTTTCAGCACTGGAAATCTGAGATGCACACTACCATACTACTACTAGCACATAACAGATCAGTTGGTCCGCGCTTTCCATTTGATTTCTAATCTCACAAGGCAAAGAAGCACATGGAGTGGGAAAAAAACTCTACCTGTAATTCTGAACTTCTATGAGGCGTGCCGCGTCGGGGGGAACGGTCGGGGCAGACGCGGCGCCTGGGGCACCCGCCGCGAACTAGGGCGCGAGCCAGGGAGGAGGGGGCCGGGGGAGGAGAAGGGAGACGCGCAGCCTCGCCACCGGGAGCTGCCTTGCCGCCGGGAAGACTCACCGCCGGCAGCCAACGGTCGGGGTGGACGTGGCACCTGGGGCACCCACTGCCCCTGGAACACCTGCCGCGAACTAGGACGCGAGCCGGGGGGAGGAGAAGGGCGAAGCGTAGCCTTGCCGCCGGGAGCCGCCTTGCCGCCGGGAAGACTTGCCGCCGGCAGCCGCCCTAACCCTAGGTTGCAAATGTCGCACCATGTTCGCTTGAGCTACTTTTCAGTCATACAACAGTGTTTTTCTCTCACAACATTTCAGCATAAGCATAAATTTCAGCATAAGCGAATAGGGTGGACGGAGAACTGTAGGAGGCCAACGTGTTTTGCTTCCGGTGTCTGTTCGTGCGATTCACGGAGGAGGAGGGGCAGTCCTGTCATTCTGTCTACGTTTCTTTTCTTTTCCTTTTTTTTTTTTGCTATTTAATCCCACAACTCCAAACAGTGTTAAAAGTAGGGGCAAACGGTAGCTTCGTTTGAAAAAAACGAGAACAAAATCACAAAGTTAAAAAAGAAGAGGTAAAATCACCATTGAGCTTTGAAATATGGGTAAAAACACCAGAATCCCTAAAATTTAAGATCGGAGACACTAGATTAAATTTACGTAGAAATGTTCGATCATTGCGTGAGAACTAAGAAGAGACACCTGTCACTCGGATTGGCAGTCAGCGTAGCAGGTGTTCCATTGAATTTTTTTTGCCGATGATCACAAATGGACCATAAACACGAATGAATACACGGTTGCAATTTGCAGCTCGTACACCAATTGATAGAGTAGTAATAAACACAACGACAATATGACCAACTGCCCAAGCTCTCACCCATTTATGGTGACCCCCCAAAATCGCGTGTATCCACCTCCAAAACGCTGGACAGCTGACCTACCCAAACCACCAAAAGCAGATCGCTGTCCTGCACACATCTGCTCGCGGCTCGCCGCCCAGCGAACCCAATGGCGCTCGTCGACGCCAAGGCCGCCGTTGTGTCCACCTCCACCGTCGCCGCTGCGCCCGGGACGGCGGACCACTTGTTCCTGGTCGTCCTCGACGGCGTCGAGACGCCCATCCACGAGGGGACGACGCTGTACGGCAGCGCTGGGGGCACGGTCACCGTCACCGGCCCGGGCCAGCTCTCCGCCGACGGCCTCCGGAGCGTCCTCGTCCGCGGTGGCGGCGGATCCGGGACCGCCGTGAGGTTCACGCTCTGCGCCGACGCGGCCGCCGAGGGCGTGGGCGCGGCGAGCTTCGACCGGTGCGGGGCGGCGCGCGTGGAGGGCGCGCGGGAGGTGTCCATGTCCAGGTGCCGCGCGGCCGAGGTGGAGCGCGCGGGGAGGGTCACCCTGGACCGCTGCCGCGACGCGCGCCTGCGGGGCGGGGGCGCGCTCCACGCCGCGCGGTGCCGCCGCGCCGACGTCGAGAGCTTCGGCGGGGTGCGCCTGGCGCGGTGCAGGGCCGCAAGCGCCGACTGGTGCGGCACCGTCGAGGTCGAGCTGTGCAGGGCCGTCGACGTCACCCGATGCGGCGCCGTCACCGGGGAGCGCTGCCGCGTCGTCAACGCCGCCGGGTGCGGCAGCGTCGACGTGGCGCGGGCCGTCATCAACTTGGTGGAGGAAGAGCAGCAGCCGTAGTCAGCCCTGTTCTGTCATCGCGGAGCGGCTCAACATCGAGAGCTCAACAGCTGTAACTAGAAGTGGAGTACTGCTGTATCTTCTGCTGCTGTAAACTGAACAAGAATGCTTTTGTAAATTGTTTTTCAAAGTAGGCTTTGTGGTTCGCGATTTAATTGATTGATTGAGTTCATTCTCAATGTGACTTCCATATTCACTAGAACGACAATTTTTATAATTCCCCATCTAGTTTTTCAATTCTCTATTTTAAAAACCGTTATTTCAAAATTGTTTTTCACTAATCACTGCAATACAAGTGGGCTATCGGCCCATCCCCAGCCCAGCCCAGCCAGCACCGCCTCGTCGTCTCGCATCGGCGTCGGCATCACCACCGGCATTGTGCCGGCCGTTGCCATGCCGCCGCTGGCCGCCGCCGACGATTTCCTCATTCTCGAGTTCATCGCAGGCAACGCCGCATCCCCCACGCCGTGTTCGACGCCGCCCTCCACACCGAGGGCGCCTCCAGCCTCGTCCTCCACAAGGCGCGAAAGGTCTTTGCCGACCCCGACGCAGCCGCCTGCTTCCCCCACCAGATCTCTGTTACAGACAATGAGGAAAACGACGAGGCTAGGGCCGCGGCCGCGGTGGCCGATCTCAAGCGCCTCCTCGACCTTGAGTGGGCCAACCTCCCGCCCTCCGCGCTCGAGCGCGCCGCCGACAGGATCGCCGGGGACGGGGCCCACCAGACGTGGGCCGCCGCCGACCACACCAAGCGTGCAAAGCGTCGCCTGCTCGGTACCTCCAATCACAAAGCTAGCCTAGTCCATTATCCTATTCGATTTTTTTTTTTTGAAACAATTGTCCTGTTTATCTTTTCCAATGTTGTTGCTTACTATCTAAGACAAGAAAATGAATCAATCAATGATGAAATTGTGGTTACTCCATTTGCAGTAGGGGAATCAACGGAGCGTGAGATCTTATCTAAGCTTGTGCAGGATGGATCCACTTCTCGTCAACCAATTCTGACGGAAGTTGCTGATAACGCGAGCAATGCCAATGAAGCTGATGGTGCTCGACGAGATGATGAGGCCCATTCTTCTAATGAGAACAGTGAGGCTGATCGTGGTCAAGAAGGTATGGCTGGGCACTAAAATGCATCGGTTAAAGGAGCAGAGGGTCAAGTTTCAGAGAAGTCTGTCCCTGCTTCTAAAAAGTGCAGTCTTATGGAGAGAAATCCCAATGCAAGTATTTATGAGGTAATTAATTCACTGTGCTTTTATTCGCATTCCGTCCATATATTAGGTGATGAAGCTTATCAATCCCATATAGAAGTATCCATCTTGTAGTAACTTTGATTGCATCTTAGATTACCTATGTTTCCACATAATAAAATAACCTTTTCGGTTTCACTATATTTATTATGTGTATCTCTTGGTTCAAATACATCTAGCTATGAATGAGGAAGTTGTTCTCTGTATGTATTATATGCAAACTTTTGGGATATTGTTTGGCAAAGCACAATTGTGTAATTTTTTTTGGGTGAAACATTATAATAGCATGTGTGCAGTTTAGTGATGATATGTTGTCATCATTTTGGGTGCAGTGGGATAGCTCTGATGATGATCAGCCAGTACGGAAGTGTAAATTACATCCTAATGAGAGAAAATCACATCCTTCTCCTACATGTCCACATAAGATCAGGAAGAAGTGGAGTGAGATAGAGGAAAAAACCTTGCTGGAAGGGGTGGAGAAGTGAGTTGATATTTTTGTTTGCCTTATTACTCTGACTATATTAACATTTTTTTTTTGTTCTTTAATTTAAATTCAGTAAGTAAACCTTGTACCTTAATGATATATTTTGCATTTTGTATGGTGACTCGAAGGTATGGCAAAGGCAATTGGAAAGATATCAAATTAGCTTACCCTGATGTCTTTGAGGAGAGATCAACGGTATACATTCTGGCTGGCATTCTATTTCTTGCCTTGGATGGAGACTTGGCCTTGAACGTTTGGGTTTGAATGTTTGATGTGCAGGTAGATCTGAAGGACAAGTTCAGAAATTTGGAAAGGCACCACCATGAATCAGCTTGAGGCCTAGTGGCGCTGTTCTTTTGCTCTACTCTGTAAATATTTTGTGTTGACGGTGGTAGTATGCAAATGAAGGCCTATGTAAGGTGCATGGAAACATTTGTGTTTCGTGTTGTGCTGTACCAAGGACATTGTTGACTTGTTGAGTGATCCAGCCTGTTCGTTGGTTGGTTTCTGGGTTGATAAGCCCGGCTGGTGTTGGTTTGCTGTGAGAGGAAAACACTGTATCATGGCTGATAAGTCCTGGCTGAAACCAACAAGCGAACAGGCTGATCAATGGAAACTAGCTGGAACCTCACATGTTGCCGCAGGCGGGCACAACTGGAACACACATTTGGCTCATAAAAACACCATGAGAAGGTATTGGCTGAATCTGATCCAATGGTCATTGTAAGTTGTAACTCGAACTGAAAATTTAAACCATTGGCGCAACATTGACACACTATATGTTCATGAAACTCAATATATGGTTAGCTCCAGGAGTAAGAAACAGTTCCCTCGTTGTTGGTAGGCAGCCAAATAGATAATTCTCTCATGTTTAATTTACAACAGCCAGATGTTATGTTTTACCTGAGATTGCCATTCACACTCAACTTTAAGAGCCATACCAAGTCAAAGCTGACATTTCATCATGTAAGCTACATCCAACGAGAAATTTTGTATTTATATTTAAGGATGTGAATCATATCCAGGATTCTAGGCAAAAAAAAATTAGCTTCTGTATTTGCATATTATCAAATAAGTTATAAATAAAGGTGTGAAAAACATCGCATGATGGTTTGACTTTGCATTCCTAGAAACACGACTGACATTGGATACCCTTAGGCCTCGTTCGGTTAGGCCGGATTGGCCCGGAACCTGGCCTGTTCCACCCGGATCGAATAGGCCCGGTTTCAATCCAGGCCGGACCAAGAATAGTCGTTCGGCTAGATTCGGCCCGGAATAAAACTCGGTCAATCCGGGCCATTTTGCCCCCTCCTCCACCCGGAACGAAACCGGACCCTCATAGGTCCGGAACGAAAACCGCTCGACGCGATGAGAGAGGCGATGGCGGCGGCACCACCGAGGGGAGGCGACGGCGCGGCACGAGGCTACGGCGACCGCTACCCATCGAACATCTACGATCTCCGCCACCTTCTCGCCTGTAAGCCCTCTTCTTGCCCTCTTCTCTCCCTGTCCCTGGCGCTAGGGTTCTTGATAGGGTTCTGGCTGATTAAATCCCGTTGCCGAGGGGCCGGCGGGTCCCAAGTCTCCAGCTTCGGCCTCGTGACCAACTTTCACTTCGGTCATCTGTTGCCTTCGCTGCCCACTGGATTTGAAGTCTGATCCCCTGTTCGCTGAAGGTGTGTGTGCTTGCGGCAAATAATACAGACACTCAATTACATCTCTCTGTTTACTCTGCAGTAGCTAGGCAAACGAGATCATTTTGTGTATTTGTTTGTTTCATGGTAGTGATGAGAGGCGCATCACTTTGTTTTGGATCTTCTGGAATCAGTTCAGCTTTTTGGGCGACCCATGACAGAAATTATTGCTTGTTTGTCTTTGGTTAGAGTGCCCCTGCATGCATCTGCAAGGCAAGAGATACACAATCTTTGAGTGCCGAGAGTTCTCCTTTTGTATACACGCTGATTTGAACAATTGCTCCTTGTATTGGTTTTGGTGAACTAAAGAGAACTACAGTTCTGACATGCCATATTCTAGGAGATGCATTTATGTACTAATGGATCTCAAATTTACAATCAAAATGGGAAATCGAGTGACTTGATTATCATACAATGCTAATGGTGTTTCTGTAGATTTTGGTTGGGAGTGAATATATGTACTATGTAGTTTTTTTTTAAAGGTGGTAGTTTTGTATAGCCCATGTCATCTTGATTCTTGACACGCTCTCTAGTCTAAAAAAAATTTGTTTCATCTGAAAAATCAATTAGTATAGCTAAGCTCGCTGGACTGCATCAGTTAGCGATAGCACCATGTGTTATAGCATAGTCCTCTTGCCACAAAATGCTTTCTGGAGAAATTCACACTGCAAGTTCGAAGTACTAAATTTTTAATGTTCTCTTGCTTAATATTTTTATTTTCCTTCTATCGGCTAGTATCAATTTATAACTGGAATTGAATGCCATGTCCTCAACTTGAATTAAATGATTATTATGATAAAAAAACTTGTTGAATGTTACCAAATCATGGCCATGCTTTGATACTGGTGCTGGAATCTAGCTGAAGATGATGACCTACAGATTTTTTGGAGCAGTAGGCATGCTTTTCCAATTTTTTATGGTTCTTGCAGTGCATGTGAAGTGACACTGAAAATGGAGAGTCAATAATTCGTAAAGTGTCAATGTCTTGATTCGCCAAATAATTATGTATTATTAACTGAAAAAACTGAAACTTGTTGCAATTTAGTGTTGTAGTTGATTGTTGCAGCATGTAGTGATTAGCTTATATGTTAACTGTAGGGGCTCAATTTTCACTGCACTATTAGTTTAGGATTTGCTTGTTTACTTATGAATCTTGTTGTCTACTTATCAGTACACTTGCTTAACATCAAGTAGGGAATCGGAACCTGCTCAAGTGGATTTGTGACTTTATCCCTTTGTCCCTCAAGTGAAATTGGAATCTACAATATTTTTCCTTGGCTGCAGTCATTTCCATTTCTATATGTTAGGAAGTTAGCAAAGTTGCGGGAAATGAAATTCACTAATCATTTGAGCTTGCTGGTTAGCATTTTTGCAGCGATGTTCGATGCTCAAATTTCTGATGCACCTTGTATATTTTGTATACTTCATTTTTGAAAACTTGATGCTTTTTTCTATTTGACTACAAGAGTCCTTTAATCACTGCAAAACTTTGAGTTCTCTAGGCTTGGTGGGTCCACATAACTATTGTGCTCTTTCTATGCCACTAATTTCCTTGATCAAGTGTGTGTTTTTTTCTTAACACAGACATTTTCTTATTACTTGTAGATCTCACCAAACACCGCTTAGAGTAGGGAAGGTGAACCTCCGCCCTCTTGGGATGCGGTAGCAACTCCAAGGTACTCGGTCGATCTAACTAGCACTTCGCTTTTTTTGGCTCTCGTGTTGTTGATGAACTAGATAAAGAAGCAACTAAGTCTTGAGAAGCCAAAGCTGTAACATTGTAGGTTAGCTACGTTAACTACAAGTATCATGATCCTCCTTCCTTAACCAATGTTAGATTCAGTTTTCTAGATGTGCTATGTTTTTTTCCGGATGATTCGAGAGACTGTTTTTGCCATGTTAGCACTTAAGATAACTGCAATCAGTTTTAGATCACAGAAAAGAATCATCACCGGCATGGTTAATGAACTTGTGGCAAAATTTGATTGCATCATTCTCTGGTTCCAAATATGAGTTTATTATAATCAGTGTGTATGTGTGTATATAGGCATGATTCCTACAGATTTTTTGGTTTCAGCAGTAGCTTGGAATTTGAGTGTGCAATTTGTACTTTGGAATTGGATGCCATGTCCAAGGGAACTGTCTTTGTATATCTTAGTACTATGGAACTTTGTTCCATTATCTAAAAAAAACTTATTACTGATCTTCATTCAAATATACAATGCAATTCAAAGTAAGGATTTTGGTACATCAACCTGTAATTATCATAGACCGCCATTTGTATTGTAATGAGGTTAGGTTAGAGCACCCAAACACTGTAGCTTAACCTCTCATGCATTTTGATGTGAATTTTGAAGTAACTAGCAGTCATCACTTGGCACCCTTCTATACACATCAGATTGTGTAATTCTTTGATCGTTTCATCGAACCACCACTTTTTTTTCTCGCTGAGTCTAAACATCTTCCAAGTTGCTGTTCATTTGCTGATCAGAACAATTCGAGTATGAAACAATGTTGCTCCACCCATTTGCAGGGCCGCACTCGAGCACGCCAGGGTGACAGAATGGCTCCAAGGTCAACACCTTTGAAAGCTCTTTGGACTGCCATAGGAGGAGTCTGAGTACAAGAAGAGGATTTATTTGTTGCTTTGACAATATAGAATATTTATGTGTGGGGGTATTAACCCCTATACCCTTACGGCTAGACTTGGGCTGGCCTGCACCGCAGGGCTCGGCCCATGAGGAGACGACAGCGCGCCCAATCGATCCGCTTTCGAGTCCCGCTAACCAAGATAGAATTGGAGATCAAGCAAGATCTGGTCGGCTAGAATAGGAATCCTTATCTGACCATCGATGACAATTGTAACCGGCTAGGATTAGTTTCAGATCTGTAACCCCTGTCCCCCGGACTATATAAAGTGAGGCGGGGGACCCCTCGAAAAACATCTCATTACATCTGACAATACAATACAATCCACGCAGGGCGTAGGTGTTATGCCCTCACGGTGGCGAACTGGATAAAACCTCGTGGTCTGCGTCTTGCGCCACCATCTCGTTCAGTAGCTTACGCACTTTTTGTCACCGATAAACTACTACCTTGGGCATACCTAGACTGCCGACCATATTTCGTCGACATTATGTTTTCAAACTGGTTACACAATTATGCTTTGGACATCCTTTGGTGCACATTTTGTCACTTTTGGCACTAGCTAGCATGTTTCTTTATCTGTGGCTGCACATCTGTGGTACTCTGCTATTATTGCTGCTCATTATCTCTACACGTATGAGAGCATGATGAGAGACTTGCAAATCAAGAACCCCAAAACATGAGAGATTTATTTATGACAAGCACTTACATTTGATTATCAGGTTGTGAAATTTCTTTTGGATTTGCTTTGCATGGCCAAGAGTAGTACAAGGCAATATGATCTGCAAGTATAATTTGTTGTGTTATTATGTCATCAGTAGCAAGATTTTTTTACAAGTGTTTGCACACGGAGGAGTATGGCTGAATGTGTGACTTTGCATGCCTCAAGTACTAGACAGTTCAGTTTGTGTTGCACGTTCCTGGTATAGTCCTGGTTTGAAGCCTGTATTGCCGAACAATAATTTTTTTATGTGTGGGAATTAAACCGGATGGAATGGCACCCAGGCCTGGTTTGAGTGACACGCACGGAACCACTCAAACCATGCCAGGTTCCGATCCTGGTCTGGAAGCATTCCGAGGTTGCCGAACGAGGCCTTAATCAGAAGGGAGACGACAATCGTAGTTAGGGAAATAATCTCGTGGAAGTACTTGTCTTCTCATGTAAGCTTAACACTAAATTCGACGTAACAGTTACTGGGAGAATAATATTCCATGTTGGTAACGTATCTTCTGAAATGAAACTGCCGACACAAACCTTTCATCTGGCAAAGATATTGCATAATCAGATTGGTTCAACATAACTGGAGGAAAAGAGAACAAATATTAAAACATAATAACAGAATTTAATCGTGAGCTGCAACTACAAAGCAATGGGCATGTGAATCCTATTTTTATTTTTGAGAACCATATCATTTGTTAAAAGTTGTTCAATATATATATATATATATATATATATATATATATATATATATATATATATATATATATATATATAAAGCTGTAGCACGCATTTGACATCATCAGCTTAAATCAGAATAGGGGTAGAAACGGAACCATGAATGCTTAGGGCAAGATCTGCAGTGAGAATAGGAGAAATTAAGTATTCTATATGATTTTAAATTTTATACCCAGTTTGTTTTTAAGTCGAGTCCAATGCACCAAAAATATTTGAATTATGCTTTAGAAACACAAGATTGACTTTTTTTTTATAAGGACAAGATTGGCTTTGTAACTTCCATCAACTCTTATGTTTAGGTGAAAAAATGGGGCCTTTGGTTCCGTAGCTGGCGCTAGCCTCACCTTGCCCAGCAAAGACTCGGACGGAGTGAGCAGTTGTTGTTGGGCCAGCTATTTTTGGTTTCTGTGCAAGCAAGCAATTTCCTTGCTTTTGCCAGAGAGGGGTTTCGGCTCGACGGGCATAGCAAGTTTTTCGTGGAGCGTGCAAGCAGGGCAAGGCGAACCCGGCTCTGGAACCAAACGTCCCCAAGTTGCCAAGTTAGATCTCTCCACATGTCAAGAAGAAGAAGAGGTGCTTATCAGCTAATGAAATCTCTTAATTGGTCCTTCCTCCCTCGTCAATGTTATCGGTGCCACCAAGAAACGGGACGAATCAAAACATCCTGGTCTCTTGACCATTTGCGGTTTGCTTTAGCAGCTGCCAGCTGCTAGTATGAATGAAGGAGACACCAAGAAAACACACATACCCGCAACCACTAAATGTCCTAAAATGATGCAATTCTAGGTTTGGTTAGAGTCAAACTAACTTAAGTTCAAATGAGTTTATGAGAAATAGTATCAGCATTTGAGACTCCCAAGATATAATATGAAAATATATTTAACGATAAATCCAACGATACTTATTTACCCACAAACATTAATATTTTTTATGTAAATTTAGTCAAACTTAATACAATTTGACTAAGCAATATTTAGAATTATAACTTTTTTTTTGAAACAGGAGAGGTAGAGAAGGAGAAGGGAAGGACTGTTAGGACTATTCCAACTTTGAGGTTTCGCTTTCGATCTTTGTGAGTGCATGATTGGGATTTGTCAATCAACTCCAAACTTCGGTTACTACGATCTTGACTTGTTGCTCTTTATTCTAGAATGGGTGATGCAACGATTGTGTCGAGGAACATCATATTTAATTTTGGAGGTAGTCTATTTAGCAGCAGGTTCACAGGTGCTGTATCTTCATAGGCTGCCACAGTTCGATGGGTTAAAACGTTATCCGTTCTGTTTCAGAATTTGAAAGAATAAACTGATTCGGTCGAATTCAATTCCTGCCAAGTTCCACAAATTCAGATTTGTGGTTTGGTCGATGTCAGGTCTGGATTTTCTCAAACAAGAAGGGGCAGAACTGTAGCTTTATATACTGTACGCTACGGATCTAGTTACCTTTTCCTGTGTATATTGATGTCGAACGATGCACCTTGATGAGGTCATGAGGATGGTGTTCTTGGTGATGCAAGACTCTACACGACACGTTCGTGAATACACAATTTTTTTTCTTGGCACTTGCTGAAAATTGCAATTTTTGGCAGGCGGTGGATTGCTTTTTTACTTCTCGATCATCGTGTGAATTGTGCATTGCTGAATTGCTTAGTTTTCTGCCTCCTTGTTGAAATGTGCTGAAGAATTGTCAACCTTTGTTCTAAAGCGAACGTCAACTCGTTGTCTCCGAAGCAAAATCTTTGCTCCTGCAAATCCGCCAGTCAAGTCAGGGAACCAGTATGCCATCTTTCACGCCATCCGGAAAAAGGTAATATGAATCTGGTGATTTTATCTGGTCGTCACTTTAGGTAAAATGTCGTTGTACTAACATAGTACCATTGAACAGGCCCTCCTCCATCTGTTTGTTTTTATTTGGTGTATTGGGATTTTAAAAAGCCTTTAAATGTACACTTTGACTACAGTTTACAGCATATCATCAATTGCTACAAATCAATGTTATATTAAAATATTTATATATAAATATTCATATAGCTATTACTAGTATACACTAATAAGCATGATAATTTGACTATATTTAGTCAAAATTTATTAAATTTGGTTTTTAAAAATCATAACAGGCCTCTAAAACGGTGGGAGTATACGGTTTCCAGTTTCCTGGTATCAACACTAGCTGAACGTTCAGATTTGTATCAAAGCAATCAAAACCGTTGAGGCCTTTTTTTTTAATGAAATCTTGGGGGTGGCTATGCAAAAAAAAAATGTAATAGATGATTTGTTTTGCTTCCGCGTAACACTGAACAGTGAACAAGTCTCTCAATTAATTGAATCCCACTGCTGTGCAAGGTAAAATGTTTGGTATTTACATCTCAACACAAACAATTAATGTCTTCCATCGATCTTCCGTCGCTACCTACCCTCAACTACGGTTACAGTCCAGCTGCTGGCGCTGTCAGACCGGCAGGCCTTCACCTCCGGGTCCTCCTCCTCGTCGTCGCCGTGGTTCCTCCCGGTGCTGAAGGCCGGCTCGCACGGCTCCGGCAGCGTGGGGTTCTCGCAGGTGAGCATCGTGGTCACCGCCGACATGGTGGGCCTGCGCTTGGGCTGCTCCTGGACGCACAGCAGCCCGATCTGGATGCACTTGAGCACCTCCGCCGCGTTGGACGTGTCCGCGATGGACTGGTCGATGAACTCCAGGCTCTCGCCGTCCTTCCACAGCCTCCACGCCTGCATTGCATGCGGAAACGGAAACCAAGCTTGCCATGACTTCCTGCAATTAATGGAATTGCATCGTCGAACGAATTGAAGGAGTAGATCGAAATCACACTCACATATCTCAGGAGGTTGAGGTCGAGCTCGGTGTGGTAGAACCCTCTGTTCTTCTTCCCGCTGACGATCTCCAGCACCAGAACGCCGAAGCTGAACACGTCGGATTTCATGGAGAAGACTCCGTCCATGGCATATTCAGGGGACATGTACCCACTGCAAGTGAAAGCAACAGGTCAGTACTGTATATATCACCAGGAGATGTGACGTAACTATCATGGTGTTTCTAACGTGTGTAAAGCGGCACAAAATTAATCTGAAACGAAACGCTTACTATGTTCCGACTACTTTCTTGGTGTAGGCAGCGGTCTGATTGGTGCCGAATATCCTGGCGACGCCGAAGTCGGAGATCTTGGGGTTCATGTCCTTGTCCAGCAAGATGTTGCTCGCTTTGAGGTCCCTGTGGATTATCCTCAGCGCTGAATCCTGGTGGAGGTACAGTATCCCCCTTGCGATGCCGTTGATGATGTTGAACCGCTTCTCCCAGCTCAGCATCGACTGCTTCTCTTCATCTGGGGACAGGTTATTTCCACAACAGTTAAACTCATGCATGTCAGGATTTGATCGATTCCCATGGCTTAGGAGTTGAAACAGTGGCAGCAGCTAGCGGTAGCGGCTTACTGAAAAGGAAGGTGTTGAGGCTCCGGTTGTGCATGTACTCGTAGACCAGCATCCTCTCCGACCCGTCGATGCAGCAGCCCAGAAGCCTGACGAGGTTCCTGTGCTGCAGCTTGGCTATCAGCTTCACCTCGTTCTTGAACTCCCGGAGCCCCTGCGTGGACCGCCGCGACAGCCTCTTCACCGCGATGTCCTGCCCATTGTCGAGCTTCCCCTGCAGAGCATCATTAGCAGTTACCACTAGTAAGAAGCTGATCTGAATTTTGGCCGGAAAACCCTTTGCATTCATACTTGTCAAGCAAGACTGAAATTTGGCTTACCATGTAGACGGGGCCGAATCCACCCTGGCCGATCTTGTTGTAAACCGAGAAGTTGCCCGTAGCGCCCTGGATCGTCTCGACGTCGAACGACGGCAGATCGCAGTCCTGGTTACTACTGCCCTGACCGTTGCTATGCAGGGGATCGTCCTGAACATCAGTCGACGCAGCAATCTGGTTCCTTCGTCCGAACGGTGTGCTCTGCCTCTGCGCGTTTCTCAGCAACGCCAGGGGAATGGCTTCCTTCTCTTTCCTGCGCTTTTTCATCTTCATGGCGCAAATGTAGAGTCCAGCTAGTAGCAGCGCCGGTGCAGCGACCGATGGGACGATGATCTCCACGAGCCTCTTCGTTCGCGCATCCGTGTCTGCTGAGGAAGAGCTGAGAGCTGCAGGATTCAGAGAATAACAGTTCGGTTAACATGCACCAGTAAGGAAAATTTGATTGTGATGTACTTGATCAATTAAGTTATCGAGCTGTAATAATCCTGTACATCCGAGTTCTATTTCTTATTACTGGCAGATCAGTAGCTTGGTTTTCTTTTTCCCTTGTAAGATAATGCATCTTCTAGGGCTGCTAAAGAGCCAGCCAAGGACTGAAAAGGACTGGCCTTTCTGTTAGTAGCCTAATAAGAAACGTTAGTGCTTGCCTTTTTTTCAACAGTGGGCATCACTGTCGTTGGACCTAACAGCAGTTGCTATAACCATCCAAATTAAGGCTGGGGTCTTTGACTTTTGACCTTGGAGTCTGCAGATTTTCAGCAAGTGAGAAAATACCGGGAGATAACTTTGAACAATCGCAGCTGCACTCGTTTTGCCCTCAACTATTTGACCTGGCGTGCTGATCAGCTTTGTTCAACTCCTCTACTCTATCTATCCTAAAAAAACCGTGAGATATATACGCGACGCGCATGGCAAGTATGAACTCTGATCAAGTTATTCTGTGAAATAGAGTATTTAGATGCAATGCAAATGTGACGGGCTCCGCTGTCACCATGACGCCAGAAAACAAAGTACAAAGTACAGTACTAAAACGAGAAGGAAAACACCTACTAAAAAAAATCGGCCGCATGCAGAATGCATCTACAAGACGTCAATCAATCAACAATGATGAACACTACTATCCTATGCTAAAAAAAACAACAAAGTCACTCACGATGCATGCGTTCTAAATTTCAAATGCAATTAAAGAGCAATAATCCGAAAAGATATGACAACAAACTCCTTTTTCTTCTTATGTTAATTACTTAATTAAGAGAAAAAGAAAAGGAAATGCCGACACAGTGGCACCAAACTTGTCATCAATTTGATTTGAATGAACATCAGAAAGGGAAAGAAAAATGTAGTACTCACGTAGATCGGATGCCGCAAGCCGGACGAAGAGATTCTGTCCGCCATTGCCAAACTGCCTCATGTCGAGAAGGTCGCCGGTCCACATGAAGCAGCCCGTGGCCCCCGGGCTGCTGAGATTGGCGCTGGTGTAGGCCCGGCACGCGCAGTTCCTGAGGCAGGTCAGCCGGCACTCGTCGAGGCCGAGGGACATGTCCACTGTGGCGTTGGCCGACTCCGGCAGCTTCATGTTGGTGAGCGTGGCGAAACCGTCGTCGCCAGTGCAGTTGAGCTCCGTGCGTCGCCTGCACCCGCCGGAGCCGTCCCTGAGCGCCCACTCGGCGGGGAAGCGCGGGTCGAATCCGGGGACGCAGCCGCACACCGGGTTGCGCTCGACGCTGCAGACTCCGTAGGCGCCGCAGGCGCGGTAGCCGTCGCACTCGTCGAGCGGGTAGGACCAGAAGATGCTCCAGGACCGCGTCATGTCGATCCACATGAGCCGCTGGATCTGCCCCGACGAGTTGAGGACGAAGCGCGTCGTGAGCGGGGCGCTGTCGTCGACGACGCCGTAGCTGTAGTAGGCCTCGTCGCGCGTGGAGACGAAGCGGAAGGTGAGGAGGCTGTTGGACTTGAGGTTGGGCACGCCCGTGAACTGGTACCCGTTCCAGGGCCCGCTGCCGTAAGTCCGCGCGGTCCGGCGGTAGAGGAAGAGCTCCGGGGAACCCCGCGGGTCGAGGCGGAAAGAGTACTCCCCCGGGGACGGGTCCCCCGCGGCGCGCCACGAGGTCATGCGCCGGTCCAGCCCCGTGCGGAAGTCGATGCCGAGCTTCATGCCGGGGAGCAGCGTGTCGGTCGGGTAGTCGAAGCTCTGCCACACCACACCGGCACCGGGGACGCGGAGGACCAGGTTGCCGTTCTCCAGGAGCTGCGCGTATGCGGTGGCGTTGCTGCTGCTGCTGCTGGCCGTGGCCGTGCCCGGCGGCGGCGGCGGCGTCGCCCAGACCACGGCGTCATCGTCGTCCACGACGATGGCTAGGCTCCCGTTGGCGAGGACCCTGAGCGCGGCGGCGTCCATGCCGCCCAGGACGGGGCTCCCGCGGTTGGCCACCCACACGACGGTCCGCTCGGGGATGCCGTTGAACCATATCCCGAGGTACGTCCGCGTCCGCCCCGTGTCGTCCGGGTCCGGCGCGAAGAAGCCCAGCACGTACTTGGCGCGCCCCGCGGACACCAGCGTCCGGTTCCCCTTGAGCGGCGCGGCCGGCGTGACCGTGTCCGCGTCCGTGTCAGTGCCGGCGGCGGCGTGGAGTAGGAGGAGGAGGACGGCGGCGGCGAGGAGCGGACCCCGTCGTCGCCGCATGGTGCCGGTGGTACGTACGTGTCGGTCGTGGCGGAGTTGATTAATCGCGGACTGGCTCATCGTGGCGCCTGTGCGTCTATTTAAGCAGTCGTCGGTTGGAGGGAGCATGGAGCGCGAGCCGCGAAGGCTTTGAGTTCGGCGACGCCGCGTTTCCTTTGGAGATGCGGTGGGGGATTTGGGGGGGGGGCGGGGCGGGGCTGACACGACACGCCGACGCCGACGTCTGGACGCGGGCGGGGGGCGGGTTCGGGGTCGCGGCGCGGCAGGGCCCTTTTTTTGCTCCTGCTGATGCCGTGGTGCGGCACAGAGGTCCGGAGCCTGCCAGCCAGATGGATGAGTTTGTTGGTGGTGTCGTGCATTTCTGCACCGCGTGGTGTGGTTGGACTGGCGGCGTAGGCAGGGTCGATTCTGATGATTCGGAACGTGGGGTTTATTTGGAAACTGCATACGCGAGGCTGATGTGCTCGCCTGCGTCAACGTAGAGAGGTGTTCGTGACAGCCGGCGGGGCAGGTGCTTCCGAGCTCCGATCCTCCAATACAAAAGGACAAAAGCGCACCCTGAGGTGATGCCTTCGTTTTTGGCCCTGTGTCCTGGGTCGATTTTGCTGCAAGCTACAGTGTGCTGTGTTGACCACGATCGGTCGTCCGTCTGGCCTTTGGTCGGTCGGTTAAGACCGCGCGTTGTTTCCACACCCCACACACGCACGCTCGCCGTTGCTAACGTCGGGGAACGCCTCTTTTTCTCCAGAGGAATATGGTCCCACGCGCGCAACGCGCGTCATGCCTCACAGCTCATTCGCATTCTCCCCCAACGAGAGATTCGGTACTGTGCCATCACGTATTTTGATTTGAACCCAATGCTATTCTCTCATTATGTTTTCAAATTCATCTGGATTCAAGTGGACCAAACTAACGGTACACGTTAGCCTATTCATGGGCCAGGATCAGTAGGTTTGGCTGGGTTTGAAACATAGCCCGTTGACACTAAAATTTAGTGTTTCTTGAATGCACATGTACGATGTACCCATGTGTGTTGAAGTCGATTGGGATGAAATTTAAACTAAGTTTCATCCTCATTTTATACACATGAATTGAGATGAGTACATATGTAACCCAAACAAGGCCTTATTTGATTGGATTGGTTTGCTTGGGCTAGTGACACAACTTCTCTAGTTGCTAAGTTGGGTTGGTCGTAACGGCTTGCCGAGTTCTGCACCGACTATGATGTCCCATTCTTCAATGTTCTTCCACTAATGTCCTCTTTGGAAAAACTTCTATAGAGACTTCTCTACCAGCTTAATTAAAAGTTCTATCAAACAAGTACATACACGAACAACTTTTGAGGCCAAAAACGATAAAGTCAAAGTTGTTTTAGGCCTAGAAGTCAAAGCCACCAAAACACGGTGTTCCTTGGCTTCTCTGTTTCTAGAGAAGTCTAAGCCTTGACAAAGAGGACCTAAGAACTACTCCATCGGGTGACAGACCAAGGCTATAGTATGGTTCGATTTGCACACTAGAGCACTCAAAACTATATGGAATCTTATGGTCCAATTTGCACACTAGAGCACTCAACTATATGGAATCTTATGGTCCAATTTGCACACTAGAACACTCAACTATATGGAATCTTATGGTCCAATTTGCATACTAGAGCACTCGAACTATATGGAATCTCCAATTTGCACAATAAAGCACTCAAACTATGTGGAATCTTATGGTCTAATTTATACACTAAAGCACTGGAACTATATAGAATCTTTCTTCGATTTGTATGTTGCAGACACAGACGGTTCGAACCATGAGGAAATAGAACATCAAAAGGCAAGTAGGACCGAAACATGGAGATAAGGAGACACTATTTTGCTTTCGTGATGGACACGAGAAAGTTGATGCCATTCGTTTTACTATTAAAGCATGGGTCCACCAACTGAACCAACCACTACAGCTATTGAACCAGGCGCCACGCTGGCAATTTTTGCAGGGCAGAATCGTTGGGACACTGAAGCTGCCCTAACAAGTTCCCTCATGGCAGATTGCATCTCACCTATGCCTAGGTCAGTGCATGGGTGAATTTTATGGATGGTGAATTTTATGGATACAGAACACTTTTTGATCATCCATTTTATGGATCAGTTTTGTCAGATGGATTAGTTTGTTCCATTAATCGATAAATAAAGTGCATTAAAGCTAGATAAATATATGAAAGGAGTACTACCTACGTCTTAGAAAATGTCTACTTATATCATCCAAATTTTGTCCTAAAATATAGCTACTTCTGAGTTCTAAGGGATTTTCAAAGGGCAGAATGCCAGAAAAACCTCTCACTTTTCATTTCTTTTATCTGCTATTTCAATTTCGGTTAGTGCACCAATCACATTTCAATATAGGTGCACTAATCACAATACTTTCTTAATTATGTTGATACATAAATGCTTTTGGCAGACACTGTTATTACAAAACGAAAGCGCTGAACAATATGGGATCTGATTCGTGCACATACAGTGGGATATGTTTACTGAAGGGCAACAAATTAGACTTTATATATTTTTTCTTAACCTAACTACCTAAGTATCAATGTCTAGGAGTTACTGTACTCTGAGACGGAGGGAATACCTTGTTGAGTTTTGTTTGTGTCATAATATGAACATGCGTTGTACATGCCCTAATGTTGTTGTGTCAATGCGTTCGCTTGAACTTATCAGCCGACTTATCAGCTAAAATCTATAGTATTTTTCTTTTACAACAAAACAGCTTCAGCCAACTTATCAGCCGACTTTAATACCAGCCGAACAGGTCTTAGTATGCCTTCGTATGGACGGCGTATAGGCTTCCCGAACACATGGGCTGGCAGTATTAGTGTCACCTTTTCTCTATCTTAGTCTCGTGAAGCGATCAAACATGATGATCAAAAGGGCACCAAGGGAGTATTTTTTAAGAGATATCCTAAAAAGAATCTACTTTTTTCTAAATAAAGTAGACAAATCCCTCTTCCTTATCTCTATAGAAATAGGAGAGAAATTTTAGAGAATCGGCTACAATAATGTTTTCTTATATCTTAAATTATTTTTAAAATATTATCCTAAAACAACTTATGCAATATAAGATATTTGGTGTTTTATATAGCTCTTCTTAATCTTTGTGTGAATGTATAGAAGAAGCTATTTTTTAAGGAGAGAACACCTTTTAGAGTTTACAATATGAACAAATTAAAAAGAGAAAGGACAAACAATTCTGGTTAGTTGTGCACTCTAAAATTACCCGCAAATATACATTTTGGCTCCGTTAAACTTAAGATCCATATAGGAACACGGTTCACGGATTAATTACTACTCCCTCCGTTTCAAATAGTCGCTTTGACTTTTTGATACATCCACTTTGCTATGTATCTAGATATAACAGTATGTCTAAATACGTAGCGACATCGATGTACCAAAAAAATCAAAACGACTTATAATTTGAAACGGAGGGAGTACAAATATATTATCTCACTTTTCTAATAGCTTTGGTTATTTTGTAAGTTCATGTGGTGACGAAAACATTTTGTAATTTAACACATACAGAGCTTTACTTCTTGATTCTCCGAAAGAGTGATTCTGGTGAGGAGCAAGCTAAGGAGCTGGTGAGGGTGAGAATCAATTCTGAAGTGATTCCTATGAAAAATGAACGGGGAGCAGCAGGAATCGATGGAGAGCGGGTTTTTTTTAGCTCCTAATTCGTTGTGCAAATGGAGAAGTGATTCTTATCGGCTCTCCATTAAAATTCAGATGTATTTTAAGCTGAGAGTCAAGCTGGGGCTAGGAGCTGTGCCAAAGGGCCACGTAGATTTATAAGTTTATATACGCTTCTTCATTTGTAGATTTGCTTCTTATATTTGTCGTATATAATTTTTTTATATCATCGTAGAAATTCGAAACAGTAGTTTCTTGCCAACTTTTCACACCCAAAAGAGAATTTTTGTGTGGCTGAACCTTCCCACCGGCCAGGCGGCCACCGTGTTTCATGTGTTTCACTTCCACATGGCTACACAGGACGACTACCGCCTTGTTTAGTTGGACAGGACGACTGACCTCATCGAACGGTCCATGTATGAAGCATTAAAATGCCGTTTTGAGCCATGTTTGCCAAAAACGAACATGCTATAGTAGACCCAAAATCCAAATTCACCCAACTAAACAAGGGCTACCTCTAACAGCAATGCCATTGCCATTGCCATTGTGGAAGGCGGAGTCGCAGTTTTCATCACGGCCGTCCATATCAACGACGAACCTTCCCCAAAACCAGCGTGTCCTCCACACAACCCCCATCTTCTCAACGGGCACGCCCTTCGTCTCCGGCAGGAACACCGCGACGAAGAGCGTCATCACGAGCACCCACCCGCCGAAGAAGTAGAAGAGGCCGAACCTCAAGTGGCAGAGCATCGGGAGGAAGGACTGCGCGACGGCGAAGTTGTACAGCATGCTGACGGCCACGCTGATGCCCTGCCCCGCCGTCCGGATCTCCAGCGGGAAGATCTCGCTCGGCACCAGGAATCCAGGATAGCGAGCGGGCCCCACGACCACGCGAAGCCGGCGACGTAGATGCAGATGAACGCCACGACGGTGGCCGCGGAGTTCTTCGGGATGGCGGCCCCGTCTCCGCTCGCCCCGAACTCGACGCCGATCAGCGTTCCGATGACGACCTGGCAGACGAGCATCTGGCACCCGCCCTGGAAGAAGAGCTTGCGCCGGCCGAGCCCGTCGACGGTGGCGATGGACACGAACGTCGCGACGATGTTGACCAGCCCGGTGATGACCGCCGACATGAGCGACGCGTCGCCCCCGAGCCCGATCGTCTTGAACAGGACGGGCGCGTAGAACATGATGACGTTGATGCCGGTGAACTGCTGGAAGAAGGGCACGAGGACGGCCATGGTGAGCTGCGGCCGGTACCTGCGACCGAGGATGTCCACCCACGGGCGCCTGACGCTGATGGCGCCGGACGCCTCGCTGGCCGCCGCCACGAGGTCGCCGTACTCGTCGGCCACGTTGACGTCGCTGCCACGGATCCGCGCGAGGACCCGCCGCGCCTGCTCGTGGTAGCCGCGGCGGATGAGCGATGAGGGAGCTTGGCGTGTCCGGGTGGAAGAGCGAGCCCACGGTGATTATGGCCGCCGGGACCGCGGCGAGCCCGAGGCTGAGACGCCAGCCCCAGCCGCCTTCGATCTTGGCGGCGCCGTAGTTGACGAGGTTGGCGGAGAAGATGCCCACGGTGATCATCAGCTGGAAGCCGATGTTCAGCGTGCCGCGGAGGCGGTGCGGCGCCATCTCCGACAGGTAGATCGGGATGCACTGCAAATACAAGACAATGTGTAGCAGAACAGGGAATGCTCTGTCTGGTTCATTTCTTCAGCAAGTGGTTACAATGGTGGAGTTGGAGGCAGCTCTGAGTCTGGATTTAACATGAACTTACCAGACCAGCGAAGCTGACGACGATTCCGAGAAGGATGCGGCCGACGATGAGCATGGCGACGTCCTGCTGCGCTGCGGCGTTGAGGGTGGCGCCGGCGAGGAAGGAGACGCCGCCGCCGAACATGGACCATTTCTGGCCGAGGGAGCGCGCCACGGACGCGACGAAGGAGGCGACGAGCGCCGCCAGGTACAGCGACGACGTGAACGCGGTCAGCAGCTGGCTGTCGAACTTGCAGTACTGGCTGCTGCCGCCGCCTCCCCGCGCCGTCTGCTCCTTGCGGTACACCGACGGGAAGAACTTGTGCAGGAATGCGTCCATGGATGTCACGCCGCCTGCGCATGTCAGATTGTCAGCATGTGTGTACAGAGTCATTCCGCTGGCTGGACGGGCACAACTTAAAGATAATTTGACTTATACGTATGATTCAAACGATTGCCGAGTGCCGAACCAACGAACCCTACCCAGAGCACTAGCACTGTGCTACAACTACAAGTCTACCGAATTTTTTATTTTTTAGCTCTTTTTTGAAAAAAATTCCCTGAAGGTAAGATTTCAAAATTTGGACCCTTAGCTCGGCGCCCTCGTTGCTGGCGCCGAGGTCATTGGACTCGACGCAGACGTGACGGTGACTTGATAGGCAGCTCGGCGCCATAGATCCTGGCGCCAAGCTTGGCGCCGTAGATCCTGACGCCGAGCGATCTATGGCGCCGAGCTTGGCGCCATGATCTCCAAAGGTTTTATTCCTCATCGAGCCTCTCGCGTCCTGTCGGCCGCCATGCCTGGATGTCCTCTTCGCGCGCTCCCTCTCACCACGTGTTCGGTCCTGCGCAGGCGGCAGGCGTTCGGTGCTCGCACGGACATCGAGGCGCCCGAGCGCTGCCACGTCGCGCGGCTAGTACCATGTACTTTCACCGAGCTCGCTGTGCATGACTGCTAGTGCAGGTAGACTGCATGCTTGAAAGGGCCCGGGGGGAGGGGAGCGCCGCATGGTGGCTGCCGCGGTTTTGTGTTTTTGAAATCCTGGTGCCACCATCATGTTCTGCTGCTGCCTGCATGCATGCACGGCATTGGGCCACATGCAAAGGGGAGCCCTTCTTTCTTCCTGTCGCTGCGTGCATATGCATCGTGCAGTATTTTCTGTAGAGCTTTTTTATAACCGTTTTCTCTCAAGTTGGAGTACTCCCAACCGTGCAGAAAAATCCATCAGTACCATTAAAATATAGTATACTTCGTAACCATATCTTTTTTTATGTGGTTTCCTTGAACGTCATCGTTTACATTTTTCTCTTTCCTTATGTGCCATTGCTGGTGCCAAAATTATATTATTCTCCTCTAAGCAAAAATGAGTTTCATCGCGTGGCTACGTAATTCACAATTGGTGACGAGCGTGCTAGGGGTACATTATTCACAATTTATGCTATCTGCTATGTTTGCTTGGCTGATAAGTCATGGCTGAAAGTACTGTTGGCTGATTTGTTGTGAGAGAAAAATATTGTTCATTGACTGAAAAAGTACGGCTTATAAGCTAAGTGAACAGGGCGATCGTATTGAATGATGACGTTAAGTCATGACTTGTTTGCTGAGAATTAGCGGCGGTGCCACAGAAGGAGAATTAAAAAAAAAGTTCTGAATAAATTGTAACAAAGGAATACTGTATTTTATTTTATTTTAATGGCACTTAAGGGCCGGATAACTATAGGCTTTGAACGTACGTTATTCAAGCGATTTTGTCTTAAAGATCGAGTCAGCGGGAGCGGCCGTTTGATGACTCTCCGGATAGGTAGCTCCACGTACGCGTGCACTACGTCCAACTCGCAACAACCTACAGCACGCAGAATTTTCTTAAAAAAATCCTACAGCGCACGGTGTATCGATCGACGTACGTGTCGTCACGTAAGGACTCTCTCTGTATATATAGGTTAGGAAATACATACACGACTACAGTCGTTCAGAGGGATGCTTCCGTGATTTTAAAAATCGATCGAGGAGAACCGTCGAGAACAATGCAAGTTGCGCTTGTGCAATTACCAAATGTTCATTGCGTTGTGCGTTGGTTTGCTAGCTAGATGTACGAACGCGTCGTGCATCGTGTGTATATATATATAGACACACACATATAATACAACAGATACATGCTTCATGCATCATGCCGCGTGTATATCATAGTGGCTCGTTCGCTTCGCTGAAAAAATAAGTCAAAACAATATTCCGGCTAATTTGTCGTGAGAGAAAAATACTGTTTCAACTGAAAAAGATAGACTATAAGATAAACGAACAGGACCGGTATCTTTTTGTGACCAGCGCAGCAGGAACGCATGCAACTGGAGTATTTCTAGATAATGCTTGGAATACTTCGTGAATGCAAGTGGTCAAGATTGCTCAAGATTGCTGTAGTATACTGCTAGCTCTAGCATGTATGGTGTATTTGTTTCGCACGGAATGGGACAGCAAGGCCACTGTACAGCTATCCGAGCTCGACGTCAGGATCTACGGCGCCGAGCTGTCTGTCAATCATCGTCACGTCTGCGTCGAGCCCAAGACCTCGGCGCCAGCAACGATGGTGTCAAGTTAAGAGTCCAGATTTTAAAATCTTAACTTCAGGGATATATTTGTGAAAAAAATTCGAAAAAAAGTTTAAAAAATAAAAAATTCGGACAAGTCTACAACTACACAGTGCAGAAGTGCAGAACCGAATTATCGGAGAGCTTGGACGGTGGTTACCGGATATGCCGATGTCGTAGCCGACGATAAGGCCCCCAGTGGCAGCGACGGCGCAGGTGAGGAGGACGTAGAGGGTGAGCTCGCCGGGGTACTCCTTGCCCTGCCCGGCCCCGGCGCCCACCGCGGCCGGAGCTGCCATCGCGTCTCTGCCTTTGGCTCCGGGTACGGCCAGATCAGTCAGGGCCGAGATCCCCACGCCGCAAACCGGTGGACGCACGAGGGATCTTGTCGCGTTTAGTAGCATTTTTTATATATACAGTGTCGTGGCCGACATCGCAGCCGCCGTGCCCCACCGCGCCGCCGCCGGGCCCCGGAATCTGGAGATAAGCTGGCAGTCACACTCACGCGCCAGTTGGTCAAACGAAGGATTTGGCTCGGCTCCTCGGCACGCCACAGGCACAGCACCAATCGAGCCGGCGCCGTCGTCGTCGTCGCTAGCGAGAGCTCCGTGCACTTGGGGGCACTCTATCTGCCGCTCTGGTCAAACCATGAGCTCGGTTTCTTCAGCGATCTTCCAATTCAAGCCCTCGACTTCTTTGCTGAGGGGAATTGAGCTAAGCTTGCAGTAGCACATGCTGAGGGGAATTGAGCTAAGCTTGCAGTACCGTACAAACAATTTTAGAATGATATTGTACAAACAAAAAAAAAAAAAAGAACAGTAGATATCTATGTACATATACACTCACGCACTCGTATCGCCATTTCGCTAGTGAAAGATAAACAGCAGGTAAGCCGAGTGGAATAGGGTTTGTCGAGTGTAATTATCGGGCACTCGGCAAGCAAGCTCTTTGCCAAGTGCTGTAAAAAAAATACTCGGCAAAATAATTACACTTAGTAAATGAGAAAAAAACACTCGGCAAAGTTCGACACTCGGCAAACTAGAAACAAAACATTCGGCAAAGAAATATGTTTGCCAAGTGTAATTATCTGGCATTCGGCAAAGAAATATGTTTGCCGAGTGTCCCCGATCTGACGGTTTTGCCGAGTGTCCCGATCTGGCACTCGGCAAACTCGCAACCTTATAAACTCATAGTAGCGGCCGCACCGAACCCCGCCATAGAAGCAAGCGAAAGCGAGCTCGGGAACTCAGTTTGGACTTCGGAGTGGGAGGAGACTCACTGTACTCCCACAGCACACAGCCGGTGAGAAAGAGAGAGGGAGGAGACCCAAGATTTCCAAGAAGAAGCGAGCGACAGGCAGAGGCAGAGGTGAGCACTCAGCAGTGTCCTTCAATCCCATTCATCTTCCTTCCTCGTGGGAAAAATGCAGGCTGTTTTTCTTGTTTGTTGTTGCCCTCCCCGCTCGCCGCATCGAGTGTTGTCTGTTTAGGATGGGAGCTCAAGAACGCCCCCTTGTTCTCCGTGCCTGCTTTCGTTTATCCTCTGCCCCATTTTTCCCTCTTTCTTGCTCTGTCTATCTGAATGGTTTGGTTTGATGCTTGTCATGGTTTTTTTTGGGGTGCGCTTTGGTTTCAGATTCAAAGTTTGGGTTTTCTTTTCTCTTTCTGCTCAGCTCAATTTCATCTGCCATTCGTCCTGTGTTCTCGTGGAACAAGCGAGGAGCGAGTCCTTCCAGTCGAGGAAGGGGTTGCGTACCGGCAAGTGAAACCTTGCTATGCTGCGGCGATGGCGTAGTGGTGGCGGCGGCGTGGTGGTGGCGGCGGCAGTGGTTTTTTTATATTTTTCGAAAAGTCTTTGCCAAGGGTTGATTTTAGCATTTGGCAAAGCTCTCGACAAAAACAGCTTTGCCGAGTTTTTTTTTGCCGAGTGTAACACTCGACAAAGGCTTTGCCGAGAAGCTACTGTTTCTGGCAGTGGCATGAGTGGTTGTTGAAACTTGTTCTGTCTACATGGGCTATAGCTGCCCCACAAGAGCCACCTGGGCTGGCCGTCTGGTGGGTTGGGTCGTCTCTTTCTTCTCGCAAAAAAGAGTAACCGATGTTAGAAGGATTTGCCTTCGTCACTAAATATTTGCCTATTTGGGTTGATACTGCTACATATTGTTACTCCATGTAGCTCAAAAAAAATATCGACCATTGAAACATATGACCCCGAATAGGAGTTGCCTTTGTTGGTTCATTGTGCAATTTGCATGCGAATTGTATGGCAAACCATCTTTTTTGGATAATGATTTTAAACTGTGTCCTTTTCTTCTTCAACGAAAAATGGCCACCAAGTGCACTGTGCGCAAAGCTACTAATCGTCCTAGATGTTGGACTTCAGTAGTACACAAATTAAGAATATGCAGCTAGTGTATTTGGGAAAGTAACTGCACAACATGGGCGAAGCCAGCCAGAAATAGCACCGGGGTCAGGTACACTAAAATGATAGAAATAATTAAGTTATAATTCACTTTTGCCTCGTTGTAAGTTAAACTTTAATTTTCTTACTTTGAATTTTTTTAATAAAAATAGCTACATGCTTAAATAAATGTACAATCAGAATATATTTATGGTGTAAGAATAAATGCACGATATATTTTATGGCGCAAGGAAAAAGAGGGCACATTATCCATCCAATGTATTTGCACATAGAGATAGCAAAATAATCGATCTGATTGCTTTTGCAAAACATTACTACTCCCTTCATCTAAAAATGATATAATTCAAGAATAGTGCTAGGTCAAACGATCTGAAATTTGACTAAGTTTATGTAAAAAGGTACTAATTTTAATTATACTAAATAAGTATAATTAGATTAAACATTACATATATTTTCATAGTATATCTATTTGAAGTCATACATGTTGATACTATTTCCTACAAAACTTAGTAGGCCCTAAGATAGCCTGACTCTAATTGGACCTAGAATTATATCTATCGTGGACTGTATACCTTGTGTAACTTTAAGGATACCAACATATTAGTATACCAATATACACCATATACATTTCATTCATCCATTTATACCGTACAGATACATTACAATTAGTTTAGCGTTGCAGTACATAGCGCAAGCTTGTCAACACAAACACATACAAGATGCTGCCCTTAAAAAAAGCACATATATGCTAGACGCACAACTAGATAGACACACATTTTAGCATGCATGCACAAATATGGCTGGCATATATAACTTGCACATCGCATCATGGCATCATCCATGTCGATAGTATATGGGTATACATGCCCTTTAGTTTTTGGGATACTATTTCCTACAAACTTAGTACGTATATTATTGAATTAATTAAGATAGACAAGTTGCTTCAACCTTGGCCACCACCACCTCCAGAGCCGCCGCCAACAGCTCCGCCGGCTGACCCAACTCCACTGCCTGCTCCACCTCCGGCGCTACCACTCGCACCTCCGTACCCTCCGCCGCTCCCCACCGTGTTGCCAGAGCGTCCAGCACCACTGCCACCACCATAACCGCCTCCACCGCTTCCCCCGTCCGCACCTCCGCCGCCACCGCCGCCACCACCGGTGCTCACGCTCACTCCACCGCGGCCTATGTGAACACCAACACCGCCTCCACCACCGGCGCCGGCATGCACACCGCCGGCGCTAACCGCACCGCCTCCACCGCCGCCGATCCCGACATCGACCCCGCCATGTCCAACGTCGATGCCAACACCAGCACCCGCTCCGCCCCCCGCGCTCGCGCCGCCGCCACGGGCAGTGCCGGCTCCGCCTCCGAACCCGCCACCGATGCCGATTGACGTGTCGTGCCCGCCGTGGCTGATGCTCACGCCGAAACCGCGGCCACCGCCCTCCCCACTCCCGCCGGCTCTGATGGAAAATGATTTGCTGTCATTGACGGCGGCGGCGGCAAGGAGAAGCCTGCTTGCATGGGTAAGCGGGAGAAGGAAGAAGCACGATAGTAGTAGAACTGAAATGGCCAGGCGGCGGCATGGGGAGCTCGCCATGGGAGTGTGCATGGAAGGATGGCCTGTGGAGCTTCAGTTTGCTGCACTACACTACTCAAGGGCAGCTTTATATAGAGGTAGCCAGTTCTGCCGAGCGATTCTGCACGAAAGTAATCTCAAGTAGGCGAAAAAAAGGTGATCGATCCTAGTGAGCTGTGAGGCACACTAGGCCATGTTGGTGAAAGTAGACCACATGGCCATGACAATTGCTAGATGCACTTGTTTAATCAGGCTTATAAATCTATATAATAAATTTAAGCTGCCAAAAATCAAGTCTAATAATCTACACGACCAACGAGCTTTGCTTAGGGATTGATGCTTTCAAGTTTTCATTACTTGAATACAGTTCAGATCACTTATCCAAAATCTATATCGTTTTTTATGGAACAAGTGGGGCCCCTACAGATATAAATACTCCCTCCGTCCAAGAAAGAATGTAACTATGTGTTGCGTGCTAGTTAAAATGATTCACGTTTGACCAAGTTTATAGTAAATATTATTCATATTTATGACTCCAAATCAATTTATTATGAAAATATATTTCGTAATTAATCTAATGATATTTATTTGATATAATAATTATTGATACTTTTTATCTACTAGCAAATATGCCCATGCGTTGCGACGGGAGAAAAAAAACTATCTAACGTTTGATTTGTTCGCTTCAACTTGCTACACAGCTGCAATGGCCGCGATAGCTTAATTTGTATAGGCGCTACTTTTGATATTGTGAGTTGTCATTAATGAAAACAAGGATGGCAAATGTTAGATATCTATTTATTTTTTAGTAGAGTTATATATGAAGTTTTGTAGCTTCTTTTGAGGATCTATAAAGATATGTAATTTTATATATTATTAAAGTCAGCAAGGAGTTAATCGTCATCGTGTCTCGATTTTCACATATATCAGTCTTAGCGAGAGTTCCATTGTTATAAGCGGAAAACTTAGAAATTTGCACTGGCAAGTGTTGATAGCTTGAAGAAACATTTATTTTTATTCACTGAATGACAAAGTGTTCGGAATTTAAGTTTATAGTTTGCTTAGTTAGGTCATCGATTGATTCGTGTTATAATAATAGTCTATTCCTAATTAATACTAACAACTTAGTAATATAAATATTTGTTTATTATAAGTAAGGGTCAACATTTAAAAGACTCGTAATATTGTATATATTATTTATCTTTTTTTTATAATAAAAAGCATAGTTACATCATCGTCAGGAAATAAAAAACAAATAAACAAATAAATGGGACAGAAAAAGTCACGGACACCACACCATCCAGGAGACGGGATGGCACCTTCCTAAGGCCCTGACCCATGAAACACAAGAAAAGGGAAAAAAAGACAAAGCAGTCCAGCAAGAAATGGAAACAGAATAGAAAAAAGATCCGAAGCGACCACCGGTAACTAGGCTCGATACAGATACGGATAGGCTGGACGAAAAATTATACGTGGCAGAAATTTTGTAGGGATAGATAATTGATCAAACTTAAGATACTAAAATATAACATTATATTAGAATTGCATTCTTTCTTCGACAGAGGGATATTAAAAAGAGATAGTACAAACAAAGGTTACAAATACAAGAACAAAATCCATATTTTCATGGTCAATATGCAGGAAGCAAAACTAACTTTGCACGATTGTGTTGATCATTATCTGGATTGATTTGCGCACACATGAGTGAACATATATATATCTATATCTATATATCTTATATTTTCAAACTCTTATATTTTTAAACCCCACTAGCAATTTATCTTGCCATACAAAGTGTCCACATCAATATCAAATAGAATATCACACTAGCACATGCAACTATATTGTCATGCAAAGTGTCTTCATCAGCATCCACTAACACATGACATTATGTCTTCATTCAAGGTATTCACATTAGCAAACCACATTATTTACTAACATATATTTAATTGTCCACATCAGAATGCTAAAAATCATCCATTAACATGTATTATGATATTTATTTATTTATTTATATTAGAAAATATAAGTAGTATACTTTCATCAGCGATTCCCGCAGCAACGTGCGGGGCGTTCTTCTAATTACTAATATATTAGAACTTATTAGGAGTTTACTGATGCATGGTTTATTTGAGATTTGTTATAACAAAAAACTGGTAATTGGCAAATATATACGCACTTCAGCAAATAAATACATGCTCTAAACCCTGTTATGGGTGTATACCAAACAATTTTACTGCCTGTCGTGTTCGAAGAAAGGAAACGCAGAATATGTTGCTTTGATCTTTAGAAAACAAGGATGCAACCGTTCACACGTACTTTGATAATTCGAAATGCAAAGTTTCACATGACCTTTCCAGCTCATTATTCCTGCTTCCACATTTGCTTTCTGTTCGGCCGGTTGCTTTGCAGCTGTGTGACAGCTCTCGATCGCATCTGTTCTTCTCGAAGATCTGCGTTAAGCTAAGCACCTCTGAATGCCTCCAGGTGATCCATTTGCTGCCAACTGCTTTGACGGGTTTCCATTCTATGTGTACAAGAAAAGCTAAGTGCGCACGCCCATTATACATACTGATATAAAGTGGTTTATCGATATCTTACGTAATTAGCCAGTGTTGACTTTTTTGGAGTGTTAACCTCTTGACATGTTCGGACTTGCAACATTTTTAGATGGTAAAGTCTTCATCATGCATGTCATGCTGTTTTATTGAGGCCGTTCCAACATCGTCTAATATATTTATATATTAATATTAATGACTATAAAAGGCTTTTGTCAACCAACGGAATAACTTTGCAGTGGAAATATTATTAGATTTGTCATCATCAGAATCTATGTTGTGATTTTTGTGACCTTACGACTGACTAATTAGTGACAGACCCCATGACAACCTCTTATGTGTCCTTCAGGTTAAGACGCGATAAGACCCATCACTAATGAGCAGTTACTAATAGTAACGGACAAGTGGAATCATGCTCTATCACTTATAATAATAGTAATAGTTTGCTACTTATTACTCACTCCTAAGTGACAAGTCTTATTGGTGCAAGTTATTATAGTAACTCGTTTTAGTATTTTTTTGTTCTAACTTTTGAAATGTCCATATATTATTAGGGCATCATCATTTCAAAAACCTCCTAAGTCCCAAGATACACTCATCACCCATGTGTCTGCGTCCTGACTATAATCTACTGTCGACCTTAGTCCCATGTCATCGCGCTAGATCTCCTCCACGCCACGATGTCGCTAACCTGCACTACCCTGCTGTGGGCGACTTGCCACCCCTCCTCTCACCTTGAGAACACACATCAATCCTCCATCATGTCTCTTGAAGCGTGAAATTTTTGCATTTTGGTCCCTTTTGAAAACATTTTTTTACAAAAAGACCTATGCCAAAACGTTTGCTGAAAATAAACCATTTTTAGGCGTCTTAGAACATGACGCCAAGGTATGAGGGTCGGCGTCGACTAACACGACGCCGAGGTCTTGCCACGTCACAGATGACCCCGGTCGACGGCGACACAGTGGCGCATGGGGTTCGACACGTCGGCGTGGCCCAACCTCGGCGCGGTGGGACTACACGCCGAGCTATTGGCACCATCCGACGCGCGGCCCAGGCGGCCCAACAACGCTTCGTGGCCCAATAGCTCGGCGCGGGGTTACTTAACGCCGAGCCACCAGACTCGGCGCGGCCCGACTCAACGCCGAGGTCTGGACTCTTGAAGCCGCGCCGCGGCCCCCTTCTTCTTCCTCCCTCCATTCTGCAAGCGTCGGCTCTCTGTTCGTCTCCCCCCACGGCCCCACAAAACCCTAACCCCCAAATGCGACCCTAGGTGTCCGGATCTCGTCTCCCGAAGCTTCCTCGAGGTAATGGTCCCTCCCCTCCTCCAATCTATCCGCGTAAATGTGCTTGCATTGTCTCTAATCATGTGGAATCATGGGTGTATGGTGTTTTGGTATATGTGTATTTGCATTTGCAAAATGTATGGCTTAGGTTATTTGAGTGCATTGTTGTTTAACTGTTTTATGTGCTGAACATGTTAGGTTAGTTTAGTTTCTAGTTATTTTGGTCATTATGAGGCGGTGGAGAAGGAGGCCCGTGCTTCTTATGGTACGGGCACTGGCAGTACGGATTATTGCATAGTGCCTCCTCTGCATCATTGTTGTTGTCGTCGTCCGACTTGTCCCTGTTACCACTTCTAGGGCTATACTCTAGGTCAAAGATGCGTCCCTGTAGATATGTGATGTACTATTGATGGAGATAGATAGGAGGAGGGTCGACCCATCTAGTGAAGCCACAGTTATCTGGACAGCTTGAATCCTGAAAACCCATCTACCAATAAGTACTACTACAAACCAAATGCAAATCTAAAAAAGGAGAGAGTTCAAAGGAAATACAAATCCTCGCGGGCATCTGAAGAAACGACGGCCTCCACCGTCACAGTCGTTGTACATCTGCACAACGCAATCCAAACCGTGGCAGCATTTTAGCCAATCTTCAATGCGCTTGTCGTATGATCTAAGAGGTCTCTCACGGGTGAAGTCACTCTTCCTCTCCATAGAAAATTCCTCTATTGGTTCTTCAAAAGAATCAGGACCTAGAGAACCCTCCCACACAATCGGAGGTCCCTTCCTCACCCCCTTTCCTCTCACTCCGCCGAAACCCTTTCCACTCGAGGAACCTCCACTCGACATTTGCTAAAACTAAATCAGAAAACAAGTTGTGTGGATGTGGAGCAAGACATGGAGCACTATATATAGAGATGAAGGCAGGTTCACCATGAATGCTACTTGATAAAAAACTTGTGTGTGTATTCATTTATTGAATCTGCAAAGGCTAGATGCTTCATCTGAAAAGCCTACAACCATGATTGGTCATTTCATCTGAAAAGGCTACACCTGTGTTTTGTCACTTTATCTAAATGTAGTACATCACTCTGATATTAATTCATTGCGTATACGGATACAACAGTAAACGAATCTAGGCTTTTTAGTGAGTTTTCAAATAGACTTTTCATTGACTGCAACAGTACTTGTAGCCCTTTCAGTGACTGCAACAGCACAAGTAGCCTTTTCAGTGATACAAACAGTAGCACTACCGTCCTAGGATAGTTAACGAAGTACAGGGCATAAGACCATCTAAAATAAAAGCATAGTGCATTACAACATAATAAAAAAAAGTCTAGGGAATAAGTTCATCTGAAATAAAAGCAGAGTGCATTACAACATAGTAAAAAAAGTCTAGGGCTACACGACATCGTTCATGAATAAACCCTACTGAGTGCAACGAGGCCACTTTCCCTTCCTCTGGGCATCGGGATTCTCCTCCATTGCTGCCTTCGCTCGGCGCACACGCTCAAGCTTCTTCTCCCTCTCCACCCTGTACGCAGCAACACACCTCCTTTCCTCCTCTTCCTTATGCTCCTTTTCTATAGCCTCCTGTCTGCGTCTCTGCTCAAACCTCTCCTTAACCTCCGCATCCCACTCCTTCAGGCCTTCTAGATGCTGCTTGTCCGACTCCTTGATCTCAATGTCAATCCACTACTCAAAGTCACACAATGGTGGAACGGTCTGCAAGAAAAACAAATTGTTACAAAACAAATAAATAAGCAATACTTAATATTACAAGAAAATTAATTAACACACAATAAAAATTCCTCACAATCGATGCACGGCGCTGTTGCTTTGTAGGTTCCCATGCATACTTAATATCCAGTACCTCTGTCTATATGTTTCCTCATCTTCAGAGATGTCTACCTTGCAAGGATCACCACAAAAGCACATGGGTCGAGGAACACCTTCAGGGAGAGGCTTTAGGTCGTAGGGATTTGCCCTCTGGCGACCATAGCTACAATTGAAAGAATTTAGTCATATTAACAGAGAACCAAACCTAAACCTAGGGTTTTCTATTTGTTGCACAAATAATGAATAAACATTGGGATTACCTTGGAATACGAGCTTTACCACGCCTTGGCATCCTAACATTACGTAGAAAAAAAATCAATCCAAAGTACCTTGCAACGAATGTAAAGCTACTAACACTAAATCACCATAACTCCCAAATAAGCTTTTCATTACAAACCCTAAGCAAATTTGAATCCCAACAAACACAAAATTTAACTCAATGATTATAAACCAGAACATATACAACAACAACAACAACCATACATTTGGGTCATTCAATCATTTGAACCACCATACATTGCACGAATGACATGAACATGAACCAAACCTATAATGCCAAGTTCAAAAAAAACACAAACAACCGAATCTAAATGGATGAAATGAAAGAGGGGAAAGAGGAGTACCTTGGCAAAACGTCAAAACCCTCGATCTGGCCTCCCAAGAGCTGGATTTAGGATTTAGGGTTCGTGAGAAGAGAGAGGGAGTGGGAAATGGCCACCTGTTGGTTCTGAATGGAGGGAGGAGGAAGAAGGGAGCCGCGGCGCGGCCTCAACTGACCGAACCTCGGCGTTGAGTCGGGCCGCGCCGAGGTTAGTGTCTCGGCGTCATCTGATCGCACGCCGACCTCTTGGCCCACGAAGTGTTGTTGGGCCACCTGGGCCGCGCGTCGGATGGTGCCAAGAGCTCGGCGTGACTCCCCACAACGCCGAATTTAGGCCTGTGGCGTTGGCTGACACGACGCCGACGTACTGGGCCCCATGCGCCAGCCCCAGAGTCGTCGGTGACGTGGCAAGGACTCGGCGTCGTGTCAGTCGACGCCGACCTTCATACCTCGGCGTGATTTCCTAAGACGCTTAAAAATAGTCTATTTATAGCAAAAGTTTTGGCAGGGGTCTTTTTGTAAAAAATGTTTTAAAAAGGGACCAAAATGCAAAAAATTCACTCTTGAAGCGAGGCTCCTCCTCCCCTTCATCCACTTTGTATACTTCAATGCCTGCCTCCTCCTTCTCCTTTGACCTCCATGAGGCTAGGCTCCTCCACTCTAGTGAACTCTTCCATCTACATGCCCACGCCAGCCATCACTGGTCTCCACCTCTCCGACCTTGTACCTACCATTGGACTCATGCACACCTCCTCCCTTCACCCTCATGTTCTTATGTGTGCCATAGATGAATGGTTGGTTGGATGCTAGAGATGAACACAATGCTAGGTATACTATCGCTTTTATATGATTCTAGATTTTGAAATGTGATGTAAATTTTCACTAAGACATGTGTTGAAATGGATTTCTTAATGATGAAATTGCACTATAAAGAAGTGTGCATGCGTTTCCTCGATGATGTTTGATAAAATTGAAATTAGGCTATTACTTGAGTTTAATACTTATTAATTTTGAGAATTTTTTGTTGGTCTATCTATTGATGCATTTGTTTCCAAGTACATGCGACTATGTCCCCCTAAACTTATACCATAACATTTATTTCTAAATGTTCCTTTTGACTTTATTTAATACTTCTGAATACTACTTGTGTATAGATAGACATGTACTTTCTCCGTCCTATGAAAAGAGTCGCTATGGCATTCATGTTGATCAATTTTTTAAAGTTTGAATGGATTTGTAGAAAATATAAGCAGCATTTGTATCTCCAAACACGTTTACTGTGAAAATATATTCAACGTTTGCTAGGAAGCGAGAATGACTTTTTTATGGAACCAAGGGAATATAATAATAATATCAATAGGTTCTCGCGACGCATCAATATGGTATACATTGGACTGATTTTTTTATATAAAATACACGCTGGTTCTTAAATTTTTAGGACATTCTCATCTGGGTCCTTAACTAAAAAAAACGACTATCTAATCTATTGCTGTCGTGCACGAAGGGTCCAAAACCTGCCACGTCAATGCCAGCATCCGACGTGGCCATGCCATAGTGGCAGATGGATCATGGCAACTTCTCAAAGAAAAACCCACGCCGTTTCTTTTTCTCATTCCGAAGTTCACGTATCTAGCTAGCTTCTCCACTGGTCACCAGGGGCGGATCCAGCAGTGGGGCGGCGGCGGGGGAGGGGCTCAAGCCCCCCTATCTAAATCGAAACAGTACAAATTACTGTAGAGCCTCTATGAATTTTTAGGCAAAGTTCTATAGTATAGAAGAGGCTGAGATTTAAAATCGAACAGCAGTGTTATTCAATCCCTCTAAAATATTTTATGGATCCGCCGCTGCTGGTCACTGCACAGGCACTCACACTCTGTGTCGCGACTCAGACTCGGACTCTGCCGACCGAGACAACGACGGGAACGGCACGGCGGTCTCCTCCAGCGCTGGCCTTTCGCTCGTGGGGTCGCTCGGCCGGTTGTACCGTTGCACGACCAGCACGGACGCCGTCGTCGAGAACTCTGGCGTCGCCAGGTAGCTCCCTACGGGTCCCAGCTCCGGCCTCCGGCCAGTTGCTCTTCTTCACCAGCGGTGGTGTCGGCGCCGACTGCCCCGCCACGACCAGGTTCTTGCCTCTCCCGAGAACGGCAGCCTGTTGCGGAGCGCGCGCGCTGCACCATGGAGATGGCCGAGGACCGCTCCGAAAGCTCCACGAGGTGCGTGGAGTACATGGTCAGCTTGCTCCGCCGCTGCCCGCTGGCGTGGAAGCATGCCAACACCCGCAGCTCGCTGTCGGCCTCGATGCCGCTGCGCTCCACAGTAAGGTGCTTGTACGACGACGACGCGCCGCGCCGCTCTGCTTGTAGACCGCGCTGACGGCCGGGGTGGTAATGAATGTGGTGGTGAGCACCAGGATGGTGAACGCCTCCTCGTTATGCACATTGCGGTCGCGGACTCGCGGCCGATATTGAGCACGATGAGCTCCACGAGCCCCTTGGTGTTCATGAGCAGCCCGAGCGCGAGGAAGCTCCAGGACTTGGCCCCGAGATGGTGGCCACGTTGGTCTTGAACCAGCTGGACAGGAAGTACAGGGGCAGGAACAGTGACGACACGAGGTCCTTCATCTTCTCGGTGAGCGCATCGGCATAGACGCCTTCCTTGGGCATCAGGACGCCGAGATGACGAACGCACCGGCATAGACGCCTTCCACGAACCGCGCATCGCGCGCACCATGGCCTCGAACGCGGCGGCCATGCGCACGAGGCCGCGCAGGCCCTCCACGTCGTGGAAGCGGAGCACGAGCCACAGCTTTAGTGCCTTGAGGATCACGTCGTGGTCGGTGCCGAGCGCGGCCGTCAGCGCGTTGGGACGCCGCACCCAGAGCGTGCAGCAGTCCATGTTGGCGAGGAGCCACTTTTGCGGGTTCTTGCTGAACGAACTATCCCACCTCCCCCTCCCCTTCCACTTCCCCCTCCCAGGAAGAGTCGCCACGTCGCCCTACCGAGCCATGTCCTCCGCTACCAACCTCCGTTTATTGTCGTGGGACTGCGCCGACGACCCGCTAGATTTCGGCGCGTTCGCCGGCGCCGCGTTCCTCCCGCTACAGCGGCGCGCGGCGAAGCGGGAACCCGCGGTGTCGCCGGAGGCCGTTCAGGCGCGCGCCGTTGACGAGCGGGGCGGCGGCGCGGCGGAGGAAGAGGAGAAGGCGCCCGCCGCCAAGAAAGGTTTTTTTTAGGGGTTTCCCATTCTTTTTTTTCGCGGATTAAATATTCGATTTTTCCGTTAACGTTGGTGGTGGATGCGCCAAGAATTGCTTCCTCGTGGCATTATAGTACTAATCCTTATTTTATTACATGGTTCAATATCGCATAATCTGTGGTAATCAGGTTCTTTTGTTTCTTTACCAAGGTTAGATTTTTGGAAGCCATAGATACTTATTCGTTGGTTTCTGAGGGTAATTTTGAAACATAGATTTGCTTTTTATTGTTCCTGAATCCTAAATCCCCTCAGTAAGATTTTGCCAATAAATGTAACAAACTAGTCACTATAATATGAAATCGGAGAAAGTAGGGACGGGCAGAAATGTTAGTCACATGTTAACAACTGCTAATTAGTAGTTATTTCGCATCTGGTGTGGCCAAGACCTCAAATTGAGGTATGTTTTTGGCTTTTTGCCACCATGGATATGGGTGTATCAGGGATCAACTTCATTTGAGTCTGAGTGCTATTTGTCTTGTTTTGGTATTTGCTTGGTCACCTTTTTGGCTATTTTACTTTGATAACCTGTTTCATGTGAACTGCTGATTTTTCTCTCTTCCTTTTAGGCTCCACTTTTTGATAGTTGGATACAAATATATGATTCTTTCTTGTTTTGATACGCTACATTTTAATCAGTTATTCAGTTACAAGTTGTTTACATATTTTTGACCATATGTATTTTTTACCATGTTCTACCTTTTCTGTAAACCCATAACAGTCTTACACATGTCATCATCCTCATCTCTGGAAGCTAGTTACCAGCAAAAAGTGTGCCCTCTATTATTGTCGCATCGTGCATTTATGGATTTAGCTCACCTATATTTTTACATAGTATTTGGCCTGGCACTTGCAACATCAGAGCTTATATCTGTTTTCTTTTAGAAGTTGCAATCCAGAACTTATCTAGCTTCAATTGGTCCTTTATAAGGCATTAATTTTATCATTGCTTATCCACTAACTGATGGTGATAATGGTACAGATGTTCGCTGATGAGAAATCTTGATGCACTATTCTATTGATTGAAAATTAGATATTGTTTTTCCATTATTGTTCAAGGCTATATTTCAGCTTGACGCTAATATGGTTTTCTATCATGGCTACATTATTTATTTTATGAAACTTTTACGTGATCGCACCATTTTTGTTCTTTGCATCATTGCATGAACTGATACTATAAAGAGGTTTATCATATGTTTTCGATAAAAAATTAAAAGTTGCAAACAAACTCATGCATGCTATAAGCTGGGTTCATATTCTGTATATGTCCAAATATACTATCCTAATTGTATGCTATCGTCACACTGATGGCTAAATGACTTCAATAGGAAATTCAAATAATCATTCAGATAAGAAGACTGTCAAAATAATGACATACAATGTATGGTTCCGAGAGGAATTGGAACTGATTAGAAGGATGAATGCTATTGGAGATCTTATTCAGCATCACAGCCCAGATCTTATGCTTCCAGGTCCTTTATTCAAATTATGCATTACTTATTTTCCTCTTCTACTTGGGTTTCGGATATTCATTTGTGGAACTGCAGGAGGTCACTCCAAACATTTATCTGCTTTTCGAAAAATCGGATTGGTGGCAAGCTTACAAATGCTCCTTGCCGCATGAGATGGCCATGCAAAGACCATATTACAGCATGCAGGTATAAAACATTTCTCAAACTGAGATGGTCATGGAAATACCATACTACTTTATGCAGGTATAAACCATTAACCACTTTAGGCATGTAATACTCTATTAGAATTGCTTAGAGTCTATAAGTTTATCTAAGTTTCCTGTCAAGTTTTAAAATACTGTTCCATATGACTTCTCTTTTTTAGTTTTTTATAACATGGGGTCTAGGGTTATGTACTTATGTTTTCTTGATGCATAGAATTCATTTCATGGTTTAATACTGGATTTAGTTGCCATTTCGAAAGCTTAGTCACTACCTCAACCTGTTTCTTTTATCTGAGCTAAATTCCTGTTCCATAATTCAGATTTCAGAATATTAGATGTACCTAGGTTTTAATAAAATGTGAGGTAGGCTCTATCCCTTCAGGATGTTAGAAAGCTTAGCTATCCTGTTACTGCTTTATGCGCTCATGTCCATCTGTACTCCGTATGGATAAGCTGGTGCTACTATACGGCTTACTACTTTTCAGGCACGCAACAAAGGATACTCATGCCTGCCCATACACTGATGGGCTTCCTGCTTCTCTGCATAGTATTAGCAGCAACATCTGCATATGCTGTGTTTTACATGTTGAGGCATTTTTACTTTGGATTGTTTGCCTCATGATTTTTTTTTATGTTTAGTCTTTTGGTGCCTGAACTTTGCGCATCCAGAAATGCCATTTCTTGTGCAATTTTGTTGTTCCCGATTGGTTGAGGACTGTATATCCTGATTTACGTTGTTACAAACAAATTCAGATGAGCAAGTTGCCTGTGAAGTCATTTGACCGCAAACCATTCTATAACTAAAAAATGGGACGGGAGCTGTGCATAGCTGATGTGACTGTTGGAGGTGTGATCAAGTTGGTGGTGGCTACAAGCCACCTTGAGAGCCCATCCCCTGGACCTCCTACTTGGGACCAGATGTTCAGCAAGGAAAGAGTAGGCCAGGCAAATGAATCTGTGAGGACTCTGGGAGCCTTCCGCAATGTAATATTCTGCGGGGATACAAACTGGGATGACAAAGGAGATGGGCCCTTCCCCCTACCAGATGGGTGGATCGACGCTTGGGATGAGTTGAAGCCCGGTGAAAATGGCTGGACCTACGACACGAAAGCTAACGTCATGCTATCTGGTAACCGTAAGCTGCAGAAGAGGCTGGGCCGGTTCATGTGCAAGTTGTCGGATTTCAAGGTCGAGAGCATCGAGATGATCGGGGAGGAAGTGATACCAGGTGTCACGTACATCAAGGAAAAGAAAGTTCGCCAGGAGATCCGTCAGCTAGTATTACCTGTCTTACCCAGCGACCACTTCGAGCTTGTTCTGACTATATCAGCTCTCAGTCTGAGAAGATCTGATCGATTATGGTCCAGAAACTACTCTTGATGTATCATGTAATGGTCCTCATTTTGTACATAGGATAGGATAGGATTATAGGTAGTAGCATATCCTAAGTGTGTCATGGAAGAGTCACAGTGATTGGTTGATGCTGAATGAAAACGGCAGGCCTATGATCATCCTGGTGCCCCCGATTTTGTCTAGTTTGGTGAAGGAGGCACCCGTTTGCTATGTAAATATGTCTAGGTCGGATAGTTCGGTCATGACCAGGGCCGAAACCGAACTACCCGAGACCGAATTCCTTGGTCTTGGGATTTCTAACTAACCAATTGGTTCACGTTTTCTGGTAACCGAAGTTTGGTAAAAACCGAGGAACCGATTGGTTCGGTTCGGTCTAACCGAACGTCCAGGTTGACTTGGCATATCGATATCCATGTCGAGGTTATGTTGCTTCACCGACAGCCTTTCAGTCTGAATGTCTGGATGCCCTACGATGGGGTGGTACTGGTAGAGAGCTTTTAGAACGGTTGCTAGGTCGAGGAAGAGAATGCCTTGTATCTGGTAGTTATATTATTTGTGATTTTGAGTGGCTTCACCGCGAGTAAGTTTGACGTCCGTGACCCATATCACCATATGAATGTCTTAGACGCGAACCCATGTACAGGTTGCCAATTTTCAGAACGCGTCGGTAGCTGGCTCAGCCTTTTCTGATCGAGAGACATTCTAGAGTCTAGACGGCGGCGAGGACGCATGTTAGTCGTGTAGCGTAGCGTAGTTGTCACGTACCAGTAGGCCGGTCACCAAGCTGTTCTTGCTCTGACTGGCAATGGCAGAGTCGCAGGCAAGCAAGCACACGACGGTCACCAATACCATGCCAATTGCCATGGCGACTCAATAGGACCATGCGTGCGCTCATGTATGGTGTGGCTATAGACTATAAGTAACGACGCTCGTAGAAGCCGAGCTACTCGTCCACGACCATCGGTCATTCCACTGGTTTGCTCTCCTCTCCTGGATCCATGGCTGAATCCACGCCTCGATTCCTCTTCCTCGTCTCTCTCGTGGTGGCGGCGCTCGCCATGGCCACTGTGCCAGCGGCGGCGGCAGCGCATGATGCAGGGGGCCGCAGCCGCCTCATCCACCTGCACTTCTACATGCACGACATCACGGGCGGGCCGGGGCAGACGGCGGTGCAGGTGGTCAAGGGTCCAGGGCCGGCGCACCCGGCGATGCCCGGCTACCACTTCGGCGACACCACGGTGATCGACGACGCCCTGACGGACGGGCCCAGCGCGTCGTCGTCGCGGCTCGTGGGGCGCGCCCAGGGCACCTACACGCTGGCGTCGCTCACGGAGCCCGTGCTGGCGGTGTCCATGACCGTGGCGCTCACGGGCGGGGCCTACAATGGCAGCACCCTCGCCGTCGTGGGCCGGGACGACGTCTCCGCTGGCGTCAGGGAGCTCGCGGTGGTCGGCGGCACCGGCGCGTTCCGAAGTGCCACGGGCCACGTGCTGTGGCGGACGGCGAGGATGGAGTCCAGGGACCACATGGTGCTGGAGCTCGACGTCTACGCCACCGTGCCGGGCGCTAGTCCCGCGCCACCTCCGCCGGCCGGCGTCGTGCGTCAGGTGGCCTGACGCCCTGACGGCCTGACCTCAACCGTACCTCGACGTGACCGGATCTGACATGGTTTTGATTGACCATGCACGATCGTATAAAATTGCTTCGGCTCCGCTCATATGTCGTTTGTAATTGAACAATAATTGATTACTACTACTACTGGTGCTACTGTTACGTTGGATCAGAAGTTTGAATTATATTTGCGTTCAAATCAATAAAATTTGAGAGAGTCGATCGAAAATGAACGGCAAGGAAAAAAAAGTTGTACCTTTGTTCTAAAATATAATAAACTTTGAGTTATTAAACAATTCTAAGTTTGACTAGATTTATAAGAGAAAAATTAAATAACTATAATATCACGAGTAATATTATTTTTTCAAAGGGACAGCAAAAGCTTTGTTGCTATTTATATTAGAGAAAGAAAAACGAAACAAGTGTTGGCCTAGTTTTTTTAGTGGAACCAGACAAAAAGACCACACAACTAGGGGTATGCAACACTACCCACAACATCGGTGCTACGACCAAACAACTACTAACTTCACATAACTATTCACTCACTAAAGCAACTAACCAACTGGATCGAAACACGACCCAACTCAACTCGATTAAATTATTAGGTTTTTTAGCAGAGACAAACCAAGAAACGTGTGTTCACAACTACAAACTTCGTCATGGCAACAACTCAATAACAATGACCACAAGAAGACAACTTCACCATGAAGACATGCCATGTGCCCCCAGGACAACTAGAGGGCCGAGGATTCAACCCAAACCACTAACTTGCATTGCGAAGAGGTAGAACCACCCATGTGCCTCAACCACGAGCCATATGTCCGTGTGGAACTACAAAGGCAATGCCTCCAGGTATGGACATAATGTAGACATGTCATCGGTACTCGTCTAACAAATGGACCAGGGTTTCACCCACAAGATCCATAGTGAGAGAAAGAGGGGGGGGGCGTCGACAGTGACGATAGGCACTTCGAAGGAGGAATACAACACCCAAAGGGCATTGACGTCATCAACCCAACAACAAGGCAAAGGCTTCCTCCTAGCACCCAACCCACTTCCAACAAAAGCACGCCTTCAGCCAACACGATCCTAGCTTTGGTGGTTGCGTCAACCATGGTCACCACTACACACATTCGCACACCGACGATGTCAACGGGAGCGCGAAGATCCACCCCACCAGGAGCAGATTTGAGCACCAGGAGCAACCACAGCCCGAACCGCCATCTCAATGCCACCAGGCAACAACCTAGCGATGTACGCCACCAAACGGCCAACTACCAACCTATCGGTGTTTTGTAAACCGGACTAGTAAATTTATACGATTGCCACGCTACTCTAGGAAGACGATAGTAGCATACAATAGACACGAGGATTTATCTACTGGTTTAGGTCGGAGCCCTATGTCCAGTCTCAGAGATGATCGAGTGCGTGTTCCTCGCTTGAATGCTCTGAAGTTCTTACAATGGGGGGTGCAAGAAAGGTGGAAGAGATGGAAGGACCTATGCTAGGCGAAGGGTTGCTCGAAGAGAAGCTCCAGGAGCCCTACTACAATGGTGAATGAATGGAATAGTAGAGGATGTGGATCGTCTTGCCCTGGTGGTTTTTATATAGAGTTCGGGGCCAGGGCTTATACAAAGAGGAGGTTCTCCCGACCGAAGGGTCGAGAGCCTAAGTGAGGGCCTACCTAACTTGGCTTGCAAGCTAACACCCTTGAAAATATTTGTGAAAAATGTTTGTGAAGTGCTAACATCCTAAGTGCCACTAGATGCTCTAACTCATTGCATATGCATTTAGGATCTAGTGGAGTGCTAACACCCTTGAAAATGTTTGTGAAAAATATGCTAACACACATGTGCACAAGGTGATATACTTGGTGGTTGGCACATTTGAGCAAGGGTAAGAAACTTCATCGGTGGAGTGTCCGCCCGTAGAGTGCGGACAGTCCAATGGTGCCACCGGCGCCCTATACAGAAAAGACAGGATTTCACAGAGTGACCGGACGTTGGGTCACTTTGTGACCGGAGGCTGGATGAGTGCGTTCGGTCCTGCTGGTGTGGCAGTGCATAGAGGAGACTGTGTGTGACCAGACGTTGGGTGAGTCCGGTCGAGCATGACCGGACACGTCCGGTCGTGAGTGGAGGCTTACTGGAAATGACCAGATGCTGGGGTCCTGCGTCCGGTCATGATCTAACTGACGCGTCCGGTCGCAGCTAGAACCTTACTAGAAGTGACCGGACGCTGGGGTCCTGCGTCCAGTCGTGGCACTGTGCTGTGTCCGGTCATCACTTGACCGTTGGGATCGGGCGCTCAGTATTTGAAGAGAGGGGTGATGTGGCAGCCATCCGTTGACCGGACGTTGGATCCAAGTGCATTGCTTGTTTTGCTTGAGTGTTTGCATCTAGAGGCACTTGGTGTCCGTGTTTCGCTGCGGGATTCGCTTGTTACTCTTGGTGGTTGCCGCCACCTAGACAGCTTGGAGCAGCGAGGATCATCGAGCGGAGGTTGGTGATTGTCTCCGGCTCCGATCGTGGTGATTGTGAGGGGTTCTTGACCTTTCCCTAGCGGAGAGCCAAAAGGTACTCTAGTGAATTGTTCATGGCTTGTGTGATCCTCATCTTGTGTTGGTTGTGCGGCACCCTATTGAGGGTTTTGCGTGTGATGCCAATTAGCGCGTGAACCTCCAAGTGAGTGAATCGCCACAACGAGGACTAGCTTACCGGCAAGCAAGTGAACCTCGGTAAAAAATCATTGTGTCATCATTTGATTCCGAGGTAATTGGTCTTCATTGATATTGATTCTTGTGATTGATTGGTTCACTCCTTGACTCGGTGGTATAACCATCTTGCTCAGTCTCTTTACATTACCGCAAACTAGTTGTCAAGCTCTTTAGTGTAGCTAGTTGTGAGAGCTTGTTAGTTTGGTTAGTGTGGCTCTTTAGTTAGCCTTTGAGAGCACACTAACTTAGTATAGTGACATAGCTATTGTGTGGATAGAAACTATATAAACTAGAATTGTGGTAGGTGGCTTGCAATTTTAGTAGGCTAGCGCAACACTTGCTTCGCCTCATAATTGTCTAACCGGTTTGCTAAGTGTTATTGTAGAAATTTTTATTAAGCTATTCACCCCCCTCTAGCCATTAGACCTTTCACGTGGCTTATTCGAGCTTCGTCGCTCGGTCCCTTGCGGGCCAGTGCATTCAATGCGGTAGGTGGCCATTTTGTTTTGCCCCATCAGGACACCTTGGCGATGTGGTACGTGATCGCTGAGCTCTGCCGCGTCAGTGTGCTGCGTATCGGGGTTCGCGACCTAGGCGGGGTGAAAGTGCATTTGCCCCCTATGTGAGTTTTGGTGTATTGATGACATCCAAATTAGGGACTAATGTGATCTTAATGAGATATGTCACAACTATTAGTCCCATGAAAGATTCAAAGAGTTGATAAAGATGAAATGGTATCCCTCAATTCTTGAAGTTGTAAAGGCAGACGAACTCAAAACACTCTCCAAAGGTTTTATTTTGTTTTTGAGTTTAGGATCCGCCGCACTATAAAGAGGGATGCAAACTTAGTTGGTCTGAGGAAGAAAGAGTGCTCAAGCATAAAAATAAAATCAAAAGAGAGACACTCTAGCACTCCACGAGCACATAGAATATTTTTCTATGACTGTCGGTGTCAAAAGTACCGACGTAAGCCAGAACTCCCGACCGTCGGAAGTCACGACTCATGCCAAAAGTCCTGGCGCCCAGCCACTAAGCCTGCGCGGTGACTGTGGGCGTTGGAAGTCCCGACGTGAGTCGGAACTCCCGACAATCGGAAGTCCCGACACTTGTGGTTCTGTTGGATGGTTGTCTACGCCCGTCGGAAGTCCCGACACCTAAAGCGGTGTTGGCTGGTTGACTACTGCGCACATCGGAAGTCCCGACATACGTCTGGAGTTCCGACCATCGGAAGTCCCGACGTTTGTCGGGAGTTCCGACTTTGACTTGCACGCGTGGACTTCTGACCCTGTGTGAACAGTGCTTTCTGTTAACATCGGAAAGTCCCGAGATCTGCGTCGGAACTTCCGACATAGATTTGAACGGTTAGATTTCTACTAAGAGTATAAATAGCCCTCTCTTCACTTCTAACCATTACGAACTCACTCACAACTCACCACATTCGTGCTCAACAGCTCCCAAGCAAGAAAGGCACCCCTCTCCTCCCTCCTTTGCTCCAATCTTCGATTCCCCTAGGGTTTTGAGTGAAAGGAGAGTGGATTAAGTGAGAGTATCACTTTGGAAAGCTTGAGCATTTGATTTCTTCGTCAAGCCAGTTGATTTTGCATTTATTACTCTTGGGGCTTTGCCCCTAGCCGGCTAGGCGTTGCCCAAGAGCTTCCATCTTGTGGAAGAGCCTTGGAAAGTTTGTATTACCCTTTGTTTTCTTAGTGGAAAGCTCAAGTGACCTTTGTGGTCGCTTTGAGAGAGGCAAGGAGGTAGAATAGACTCCGACCTTTGTGGTCACCTCAACAACGAGGACATAGGAGCTCCTTTGTGGGGTTGCCGAACCTTGGGATAAATCCTTGTGTCCCATGTGCTTGTTGTTGTGATTGCTAGAGATTACTTGTATTTTTTTGTCTCTCTCTCTCTCTCTTGAACTTCATTTTAGGGTTTGGACTCGATCTACGGTTTGGAGGCATTACGGCGTCAAGGGAGTGACCCAACCTCTTCACCAAACCACAAGGAAGTGGGGTTGTAAGATTATTTATTGTAACGCCCCAGAGTCCAAATGGCTCAGATCCACTCTGCACGCTGAGCGAACCACACCTACCACCATCCCACTTACGCTTTCGTCCTCGCTTCGCGTAAAAGGATTAACCCGGGGATGGTGGGATGGACTCTAGAATCATTATATGTTGGTCTGTCCCACCTTTAACAACCAAGGTGGGACTAAACTCTCCACAATATCTCATTAACTTGCATATGTGCCACTATGGGCTAAATTCTAAACTGGGCCGGATGTCACATACA